TTTTTTTTTGTGAGGAAGATCAGCCCTGAGCTAACATCCATGCTAATCCTCCTCTTTTTGCTGAGGAAGACCGGCTCTGAGCTAACATCTATTGCCAGTCCTCCTCCTTTTTTTCTCCAAAGCCCCAGTAGATAGTTGCATGTCATAGTTGCACATCCTTCTAGTTGCTGCATGTGGGACGCAGCCTCAGCATGGCCGGAGAAGCGTGCGTCGGTGCGCGCCCGGGATCTGAACCCGGGCCGCCAGTAGCGGAGCGTGTGCACCTAACCGCTAAGCCACGGGGCCGGCCCTGGAGTTGCATTTTGAATTATTTGTTTTGCAAAATGTATCAAATTCATTACTTCTGTTTAAATTGTTTAAGATATAGCAGTTTGCGTATGTAATACTGTCATTAGAAATTTAATTCTAACCCCCAAAATCCCTTTTGCACAACATTAGGACAGTTTTTTTTTTAATTCATCCAGCAGGTATTTCTTTTTTTTTTTGGTGAGGAAGATTAGCCCTGAGCTAACATCTGTTGCCAATCCTCCTCTTTTTGCTGAGGAAGAGTGGCCCTGGGCTAACATCTGTGCCCATCTTCCTCTACTTTATATGTGGGATGCCTGCCACAGCATGGCTTGATAAGTGGTACATAGGTCTGCAGCTGGGATCCAAACCCATGAACCCTGGGCCACCGAAGCGGAGCACGTGAACTTAACCACTATGCCACTGGGCCAGCCCAGCAGGTATTTCTTTTTAAAGTGATCTTTAAAACATTTCTTCTAATAATAAATTTATACTCCCAGAAATAATTTCTTTGCCTTCCCTCCTCTTCTTTTTAATTAATTCCAGCAGGTGGCCTCTACATACTGTTGCCACCCCATCTAAAACAGCAGTTCTTTGTTACTTCCCATCCCCAAACCTTGCTTTATTTTCTTTGTAACACTTACCCACTACCTGACCCACTACCTGACATAAACATATCTATTTATTTATTTCTTGTGGGGAAGACAGCTCCATGAATAAAGTTAAGCTCCATGAATTTTTTTGTAAACAGTTGTCTCCCCTAAATCTAGAACAGTGCCTGGAATCTAGTTGGTATTGAATAAATACTTATTGAAATGAATGAATAAGTGAGATAATTTTATGCTAATTTGTGTTCTTGAGCTAGGTAAATCACAAAGGTTTGTTTTGGGTTTGAAGAATAGTAAGAATGATAACTCTGACTTGGTTTGTTACTGCACCATTTGGTTCTTCCTCATCCTTCCAGCATCTAGACAATGTTCCCCATCCTGCACCTTCACAGAGTGGGGAAATCCATTTTTCTTATGATTTTCCCTCATCAGTAAATGGGAAATCCTTGCTTCCAGTTGCTGAAGCCAAAAAGTTTGACTTCTCTCTCTCTCTCTCTCTTATCTAATTCATGAGTTCAAATCGTGTGGGTGATAATTTCAAAATATATCCAGAATCCAGCAGTATTCCACTATTTCCATCACTACTATCTTGTAGTGATTATTGCCTTCTAACTGGTCTTCCTGCTTCTTCCTGTGCTTCTCAGCCCCTGAACAGTCTAGTCTATTCCCACCCAACAGCTAGAGCCATCCTTTAAGTCACCTCATGCTACTCCTCTGCTCACTACGCAAGGCTCCACATGTTCTGGGCCCTGTTACTCCTTTGATGTCCTCTGTTCCCTCACTTAGACTGCTCTTAAAGAGTTTACTTTGAGTATTGAATCCCATACTCCCTAAAATATCCTATATTCATGGAAGTTTAGCATACCAGACATCCTGGCTTTGCATGAAACTAATCTATTTTTTAAAAAAGCAACTTGTTAAACATGATAGTGCTGTTACTAGCCTATCTTTGAGTTTCTAGTTGAGTATTCCTCCCCCACCCCTTTTATTGTTTTTAAAAACCAGGTAAAGATATTAGCACAGTGTATGTGAGTTGTCAGATGATCATAGAATATTAGGGAAATAAGGCAATTTTTTCATATTTTGCTTATTACTAAGCCAGTTTGGTTCCCACAGATAGGGAGAACCATTTTGAATTTACAGGTAACTACAAAAACATCCCGTAGTATTACAAGAATATTGTTTTTTGCATTTGCAGGTTGGTTTTAATTATTATTGCTTTATTATTTTCATAACATTTTTTATATTACTGTCAACCTTAGGAACATGAGCCTTTGCTACTTTTTTGCCCAAATAGGTTAGGACTAGGAAGATTTTCACAAAGCCATTATGGAGTTTGGATTTGACTAATTGGAATTGTCTGGGTGATAATCAACTTCTTTTGGCTGACTCTGCTCATGTGTTTAAGTCCCTGTATGTGCAGTTCCTTTAATTAGGGTATGGCCAAGTAGGGGGAAAATTGCCAATTTTGTCCTTTTTTTTTTTCTTTTTAAAGATCCAGGCATAAAGGAAAGAAAAGTCTTGCCAGACTGAAGAAGGAGCGGGGATCTCTCCTCCTAATCTGGGCCTCCTGTCATGGTAAGTGCAAGGAAATAACAAGAAAATTGGAATTGACTCTATCTTGACAATTAAGTGAACACTGATAAGTCCATTGTTGCCCATTTTCTTTTTGTAAGAAATAATTTTACTTTTACTTTCCCAGAACTCTCTTCCTATCTCCTTTCTTATATTGTTTACTTAGTAATAATTACAGAGTATTCTAGTGTGTTAGAGCAGTTTCATTTTTATTAACTTTAATCCTGTGAGTTAGATATTGTTTCTTATTTTCAGTCAGATATTAAATGGAGCCAAGACTCAAACCCACAGTTCTTGGACTCGAGGTTTCTTATTCCTTTTCTAGGATGCAAGATGTAGTAAAACTTTTTGTGTGTTTGTGTGTGTTTGTTTGTGTATGTGGGAGAATTATGATATGGTTATATACATATCCTTTGTGAATTTACCTTTCTGGATAGAAGCAATTCCCTACCTTCCCTATTCTGTCTCTTTAAGGCAGTATTTTTATCTCAAAGACAGTGAAGAAGCTCTGCACACCCCTGCCTACATCCTTGACTAAAAAGAGCATATAATGAACATTTCAGTGACTTGTGGGCCATTTAGGGCCTAGTCCAGGCAGAGAAGATGGAGCAATGAGCCAACCACATTTCTGTCAATCCTGAGAATATGTAAACGGTGCTTCAAGGCTTAAAAAAGAAATAGTCCTCTGTAATATTGTCCTGCTCCTACCTTGTGATGTTTCCTAGATCCAACCTCTGTTTCATGCTGGCACACAAAGAAGGAATTGAAAAGGCCATGTTAATTTCAAGCTTCATTAGGGACATGGGTGGAAAATGCTTTTCAAAATTAAAAACAAACTAAAACAAAAGAGAAAAACTAGTTGTGCAGAAATGTCATATTAAAAGGAGGAGAAGGGTAACTGCTTTCATCCTAAAGCCGGCCCAATTTTTTCTTAGTTTGTGGGCTTAACAGCTTTCTGCTGTATCCTGTACCTAAACACTGATGAACTTTTAATATATTATGTCTCTGCACTGTATTTTATTTTGTTGCTTTTCCCCACAGAGTTTTTAGTGATTGAAAAAGTATTTGCCTAATATTTATATGGTATGTATGACAATGCTAATGAATAGCAAATGATGGGCTTATGAAAGCAGCTCTGTTCTGTACTGAGGGGTTGTCCTTCATTGTATACCACATAGCTAACAACAATGTGGTCCTCATCCTGGTGCTGCTGGGATCTCTGGTGCCCTGTTGACAGTCTTCCTGGTGTGCTCTGGAGATGATTCTGTGTGCAGTAATTGGGGAGCAGTATAGCCATGTGTCTTTTTTTTTTTTTTTTCATCATAAAGCAGCATTATAACAAGTTTTTACAAATACTCATTTACAAGTCTACCACCAAAACCCATGGTTGTATTCCTTTCTAAGTAGTCCATGTCCATGTGTATATTTTATTATGTATTTTATGTATATATTTATATGAACTTAAAACATAATTAAATTTCTGTTTTGCTTATATCACTGAAGGAATTAAACATTTTCCCACATTGACTCATTGGATTCCTAATGTTCATTTTACTAGCTGTATAACATTTCATAAGTTGTTGAACCATTGATTTAACTAGTATTAATTAATATATTCTGTTTTTAGCGTTTAGGATATATGTCCTTAATCCTACTATTTTGTAGATAATTCAAGAGCATTGAATTTTCTTTTCTTTTCCTTTTTCTTTTCTCTTCTCTTCTCTTTTCTTTCTTTTCTGTCCTCCCCTCCCCTCCCCTCCCTCCCTTTTCCTTCCTTCCTTTCCCTCCTTCCTTTTCTTTTTCGGTCTGTCTGTCGTTCACTTCTGTACTAATTTGAATAATATCCTCTTTGTTACACTCCTAAAGGTTCTTAAATGAGATTGAAATCTGTCTTTTTTGGGAGGTTATGCATTAGGAAAATATGTTTTCATGTTTTATTATGTAAAATCTCAAGCCTATACAAAGAATAGTATGATGAAACCTGATATATGCGTCAGTCAGCTGTAATAATCCTCAATTCATATCCACACTTTTTCTTCTTTCTCCTTCACCTCCCACCTCTTTGGATTATTTTGAAAGAAATCCCAAGCATTTTATCAAGGGAAATTGTATTTTTGATGGCCTTCAATACCAGTCTTAAGAATAGTGACTGGAATTGCCAATGGGACTGATAATTACTTTTACTTTTACATTTTGCCAAGTGTTCCCACACACATTTCACTCTTAGGAGTAGGTAGTGTTCCAGGATAAAAAACTATATATGAATTTAGTTAATGGACATTTTGACAGGTCAGCAGTCTCTGCTCCTTGTGTTCTTTAAGTATTTATCTCTAATGTTGACTTCCCCTCTGAGGTATAGGCTTATTCTCTTACCTGCATAGTCTAGCCAGTAGCAGAAACTAGCCTGGAACTGTGGTGACTGATGCCTTTTCAAGATTTTTTAGGTGACCCCACTGACCTTATGGAGCTGGTGGAGACTAAGAGGTGCCAGATTCCACAATGTCTGGTCTTCCTCAACAATACCAGGAAATCGACCATGTGGAATACATTCTCTCTAATACCTATAAATTACTGCTTATAGCCTAGGAGAAATTTGTTTCCAAGCCTCTTATCAGGCCAACACTTGCCAGTTTGTTTCTTCTTTCCCTTTTGTTTCCTTCCAGCTCCTTACTCTGTCAGCCATCTCAAGTTTGGCCTTCTTTTTTACCTATGAAACTCAGAAACTGTAATAAATTAGGCAGTTAATTCAACGTATGTTTAGCCAGAGCCAGGTAATTTTTTTTTTTTTTTTTTTTGCCAAGGAAGATTCACCCTGAACTACCATCTGTTGCCAATCTTCCCCTGTTTTGCTGAGGAAGATTCGCCTTGAGCTAACATCTGTGGCGGGTCTTCTTCTATTTTGTATGTGGGCCACTGCCACATGGCCACTGAGGAGTGGTGTAGGTCCGTAACTGGGAGCCGAATCTGGGCTGCTGAAGTGGAGTGTGCCGAGCTTAACCGCTAGGCCACTGGGGCTGGCCCTAAGTAATGTTTTTTGTGTTTTTTTTTCTTTTGTGAGGAAGATCAGCCTCTGAGCTAACTTCTAATGCCAGTCCTCCTCTTTTTTTGCTGAGGAAGATTGGCCGAGGGCTAACATCCGTGCCCATCTTGCTCTACTTTATATGGGACGCATGGCTTGAGAAGCGGTGCATCGGTGTGCGCCCAGAATCTGAACCTGCAAACCCCAGGCCGCTGAAGCGGAGCGTGTGCACTTAACCACTATGCCACTGGGCCAGACCCCTAAATAATGTTTTTTGAATCACCATTCTTCTAGTAAGTCAATGATTAGTTTGTCCTAATGTTAATTAAGTCCTTGGGGATTAAGGTGCATAATTTTTAAAAGCTTTTTCCCATATTTCATAGCATTTCCTACCTATCTCCTATTGGCTTCTGAGAAGAATCTTCCTAAATTCGAGATTGCTCATATCTTTTCTCTTTAGTTCTCTCTAAGTGTAAATACTCAGTTTTCTTTAAGAGCTACCTCTTAAGAATGGAAATAGAATTGGTTATAAAGAAAAAAGAGCTAGGGGGCCAGCCCAGTGGCATAGTAGTTAGGTTTGCATGCTCTGCTCGGCCGGCCTTAGGTTCCCAGGTTTGGATCCTGGGCGTGGACCTACACACTGCTCATCAAGCATGCTGTGGCGGCGTCCCACATACAAAATAGAGGAAGATGGGCACAGCTGTTAGCTCAGGGCCAATCTTCCTCACCAAAAGAAAAAACAAAAGGTGATACTTATAGAAAAAGGAGTTCCTTTCACATATGACTATGTCCCTTATTATTCCTTCACCCAATCATTGGTCTCAAAGGAAATGAATGGAAAGGGATAAAATGGAATAGATTGACATACAACTCTTCATCTTACAAGTTATTTATTTTTTTTATTTTTATTTTTTTTGCTGAGGAAGACCGGCTCTGAGCTAACATCTATTGCCAATCCTCCTCCTTTTTTTTCCCCCAAAGCCCTAGTAGATAGCTGCATGTCACGGTTGCACATCCCTCCAGTTGCTGTATGTGGGATGCGGCCTCAGCACGGCTAGAGAAGCGGCGCGTCGACGCGCGCCCGGGATCCGAACCCGGGCCGCCAGTAGCGGAGTGCTCACACTTAACTGCCAAGCCACGGGGCCGGCCCCCTTCCAAGTTATTTTGGTGTTTATAGGAGTAGAGCCATTTTACAAACCTTTGTACACCCTAGGTAATTGTAGTTTTGCAGGCTTCAAGCCACATCATATCAACCTTACTAATAAATACATCAACTTCATTAAACTTTATTTCTTTTTGCTGTAAGAAACAACAGATTTTTATACTACTTTTGCTTTTGAAATTATTTGATTATCAGCCATAATTTCTTGACAATCATGGTGAATACCTAGTAGTCCTGGAGAAGTGACACTATTAACATATGATTTGTTTTCACATATAACAAAAGTCTCTAATTAATGACTGAAGTTTTATAATTTTTTGTAGCATTTCATGAACCATTTACAAAGTGGTCATTTTTAGTATTTGAAGCCACTGATTTCTTTCTACATTTTTAAATATCAAACATTTTTAGATATCAAACTATAGTTTTAAATATCAGACTTTTAAAAAGGCCCTTAAAAAGCTTGTGCCTCAAGCAAAAATGGCCCCTTAGAGGGGATGGAATGGACCCTATCAGCGTGTAACAAAGATGCTGGTTTTATGGGTGGTAGGTAGATGGGTGAGCGATTATTATTCAAATCTCTGTATGGCTCTTCCTGTCATAGATTAGCACTAGGAGAATGGTTTTAGAGAAGGCCTGACTTCAAATGAAACAGCTGCAATCAGTATTTAGTATTGGAGTATAGTAGAGTGCTGGTTTTCAAACTTTTGATTTCAAGACCTCTTTTTACATTCTTAACTTGTTGAGGACCCCAAAGAGTTTTTGTTTATGTGGGGCGTGTTTATCTGTATTTACTTAATTAGAAATTAAAGTTGAGAAATCTTTAAAATTTTCATAAATTCATTTAAAAATAACAATAACAAACCAATTAAATGTTAACATTTTTGATGAAAATAAACTTTTTCATCATTCAAAAATAATTAGTATAAAGAGGGGCATTATTTTACGTTTTTACAAATCTCTGACGTTTGGCTTAATAGAGGATAGCTGTATTCTCATATCTACTGCATTCAGTTTGTTACAGTATGTTGTTTGAAATATATGAAGTAAATCCAGTCTCAGGTAGATATGTAGTTAGAAAAGGGAAGAGTATTTTAGTAGTTTTTCTAGATAATTGTGTGTATTCTTCTGTTATACTACACTGAAACAAGTAATAATTCTTTAAAGGTTAGTTGCAATGTGCAATCTGAAACCTTATCAGTAAACTTTTTCTATTACATTAAAATCATCGGTATATCTTGCACTTTAAATGGATCTTTTTATCCATGCATGATTTTGTAACATCATACATTAGTCATTTTGAAAATAATGGTTCATTGAGTAATTCAGATCTTCCAAATGTAGACATATTTCACTATATGATTTCTTTTTCAAGTCACATATGGTAGTATCACCACTGATGTCATCAGAAGAGTCTTAAGTATTGGGAAGCTGTGAAGTTCATGGCGGCAGAAGACAGGTTTTCCAAAATTCTAATTTTTGCATAAAAGCTTTATCAATGGCAACTAGTAATGTCATTTGGAGAAAAGATCTGCCAAATGTGTAAGTCTGAATTACCATAGTTTGTCAGTTCTTTCAATAAAAATAGTACTTAATGAAAAAATGTGGCTAATTCAGCTTGTAACTGAAACAGGTGCACAAGTGCTTTATCTTGAGACAAGTGTAATACTTCAGTAAGCAGCATAAGTATTTCATGTGTATTTCCTATATAAAAGACTTAAGGGTCAAGAATTAATAAAATTTATCATTTTTCCCCTGATTTATCAAGGATAGTCTAAGTGAAATTGGTGCCACCACCTTAATTGTACTAAGGTGCCAAGTAGTTTTACCCACCAGTTCTTTTTGCACTGTTAGTACAAATATCAATACAGTGAAAGAGGCAAATAATGTCTTAGTATAATTGTGAAAGGTGTTTTTGACCTCATAGAGTCCCTGAAAGGGTCTCAGAATCTGCAGACCTCACTTTAAGAACCATATTAGTAGAGTATTATGGTTTTATGATTTAAGATTGCTATTGGGTAAAACCTTAAGTGTTATTTATAGGTAGGATTTTTTTTCTCTCTTTAAGGAGATTTAAAGAATTGTTGGAATTGTGCTAAATAGCATATGCAGAAAGGTCCACTAACTAGTGGTTATAATTCTTAGTGCTGTCAGTTGAACATGATATGGCTTTTGCTCTCATAAAATTTGATGTGTAAACAGATTCTATCATAATTTACAGTCCCCAGACTTTCCAATAGATTGCTTTTCTCTCCTGTCTTCATATACTTTAAAAATTAATAATGTAAAAACCTACTTTTTTATGCAAATGATAATTAGTTGAATGCCATTTAGATTAGAATTTATTGCATCTTTTTTTGAAATTGCTGTAATAGAAATAAATCTATTTTGTAACATAAGGCAGATTAAACTAGGGATGGTGGTTCACACGTTTTCAGTTTGAGAAATTCAGTTCTTAAGCTTACATTTTTTCACATTTTTTAAAAAACCTTTCTATTAAGGAAATTTCACATATAACCAAAGTAGACACAATGGTATAGTGAACTCCCACTTACCCAGTTTCATCAGTTATCCCTCATGGACAATCCTGTTTCATTTATGCCCCACTCGCTTCCTCCTTACCTTTCCCCCTCCAATTATTTTGAAGCATATTTCATACATGATATCATTTCATTCTTAAATAATTCAGAATGTATTTTTCAAAAATAAGAATTTAAGATTATAACTTAAAGAGAAAAAAACCTGTTAGTTGGTTTCTCTTACAAATCATGTACTAATAACTTATTAGTGCTTAATAGAAATGTTCTTAACCTCTTTAACATATATAGATATATATTTTGCATCAGTGTGTTCTCTGACTAGAGGCAGTTAATATATTGGATGGAACACTTTTGGGGACGAATAGTTTTTCCTTGAGCTTTCTGCATGTTCACCTTGATTACTGGACTCTGATTGTGATTATGCTACTAGACGTGGCAGAAAAACCAAATATGGATGAGTAGGAGCTTTGAAATTATTTAAAGGTGTTGGGTTTTTCCAGGATGCGGAGACTCGGCACAGTCTTGAGTGCATCCAGGCCAATCAGATTTTTCCCAGGAAGCAGCTGATCCGGGAGGATGAGAATCTTCAGGTAATTACAGGCCACTTTTGATAATAAAATAAGTATTTGGTATCATACAAACAGTGTAGCAGAGCTAATGGATTGAAGTAATGCACTATTATATCTTTTCCTAAACCATAAACATAGTAGAAATGCAAGCTGGAAAACATCTTTCCTTTTAGAAAGACTTATTTCCTGAGAATTCACTGTTTGAGATGATGATCTCTGTGTCATTCCTTCAGTAGTCTAGAATTTGAATAACTAGGTATATTTGAATCATGTGTGTATAAACCCATCCTCTTTAGGTTTCTTACCCATTTATGTATAGTGTGTTTTAAGTTTGAGTGACAGAGGATTTATCATCCATTCACCTGACCCATGTTTGAAGACTTTGCTTTGCTGCTTCAGAACTCTGAAGGGTTTCTTCTTCCATTTTGAAGGTTCCTTTCCTTGAACTTCATGGAGAAAGCACAGAGTATGTGGGCCGTGCTGAGGATGCCATCATTGCCCTTTCTAATTACAGACTTCACATCAAGTTCAAGGAGTCGCTTGTTAATGTAAGTGATTACCAACTGTTCTCCCACTAAAGTAGATGGAGAAAGGAAGTCAAAAAACTTGTTAATGTTCTCAGAGACGGGAGTGTTATATAGGGTTGAGTGTGAAAACATGTACTCTGCTTTTCTCTGACTTAATTTAGCACTCGGGACACTAGGTTAGCAAGCAACTCTTATGCTTGATTTAAAATGATACATATAGTTATCAGCTGAGGTGTCCATTATTTAGTAACACTAAATGATTTGAGCTAGATAATGCTGCATCAAGTTTTATAAGGGTGCAAAGGCTGTATAGGCTTTTATTCCTCGATCTTTAGTAGTTACCAACTTCCTCAGTTGAGATAATTCCCTGGACCCTAATGTCAAATGATGAGATGTACTTTGAGCTCAACGTTCATATAGGATGAACTTTCTCTAATGGCTCCTTAGCGGTATAAGTATAGATGTTAAGTACAGTGTTTATTTGCATAATGGACTATATATTACTGAAGAGAAGGAAGTCTATCAATTCTCAAGAGTGCATTTGCCCTTTTCAGTTATGAGGGTACTCTCAGTGAACTGGTTCTTCCAGTGCACTGCCATCGTTGATAGTTTTCAGTTAATGTGCCTTTCACCACAAAGGCCTGAAAGTTCATGTACTTCCACCAAATGAATGCCTTCTTCCTTCTTCACTTGCCAGTATTGTGGCTGTCTGCACTTTGGTTCTAGCACAGAGAAGTGTCTTATGACATCTTACAAAAGCTCAGGACTATACTTTCCTTCAGATTGTGTGTTTTGGGGTTCATTTTGGGATTCTTTGAAATCTGTCACTTAAGTTCATTTTATTCAGCAGTCCAAATTATTCAGCAGTCCAAAAGTTACCCAACTCCTTCGTCACATTCTTTCCTTTGTCAAAAGACTCAAATGGCTGCCATTTTCTTTGTAGTTGGCATTTATTATTTATGTAGTATTTATTATTCTTTATAGTTAAGCATTTATGTGCAAGAGCCATTGTGGCTTGAATTCCTTCTGGCCTCTAGATTTGGACTATAATCATAGCTTTTATGTTAGTTTTCTGTCGATCAGCTAAAAATACGTACCAGATTTATCAAGGAAAGACACATGCTGTGCTTTCACACCATAGCACTGCGTTCAGAAGGATCCATTTGGAATTGGGTGGTTGTGATAGGAGGGGACAGGATAGAAATGCCTATAAAATCCCAGCAACCAGAAATTCCCCACTGGCTGCTGTGGAAGTAATGACAATAATAATTAATAGAATTGACCAGTTTAATTTTGTTTTTAAATTGTGTTTAAATGGCTGGAATCAATGAAATTGTAATTAAATTGCATGTGGGGATGATATAATTTAATATCATTGCATTTTTCCATACAGTCCTGTATTTCTCAGTTTATTGGTTTATGGCCAAGTATTTCAGAGACTGTTTTCACATCTATTTGGGAATAAGCTCTGTTGGAGAGAGAACATGGATTTGATTATGTCATTCACCAGCCTAAGGCCCTTCAGTGGTTCTTTACTACTTCTAAGATGAAATTACTTAGCACTATGCCAGGCTAAGTGGTGTGATCCTTGGTCCCTGCCAGCGTTTCTGTCTGTTTCCCTCTTTTCCCCCTTTTCCTCTTTGTATTAGTAAAACCATCCTCCTTGGACTATTCAGCCATACCTCACATCTCTCAGTTCTCTCTCTTCTCTTCTACTCAGAGAACTTCTCCATCTGTCAAAACTCAGTTCAGGTGATAACTCTTTCCATGAAGCCATTCTTAGTCCCAGTTTCCTTCCTGACAGTTTATTACACTCTCCTCTGGCTTCTTCTATACCTTGAACACACCTTTACAACATTTAACAGTTACAGTAGTCCTCCCTTATGCATGGTTTTGCTTTCAGTGGTTTCGGTTACCTGCGGTCAACCTCAGTCTGAAAATATTAAATGGAAAATTCCAGAAATAAACAATCCATAAGTTTTAAATTGCACGCTGTTCTAACTAGCGTGCTGAAATCTTGTACCATTCTGCTCCGGAATGTGAATCATCCCTTTGTCTAGTGTATCCATGCTGTGTACACTACCTGCCCATTAGTCACTTAGTAGCCATCTCTGTTATCAGATCGACTGTCATGATATCACAGTGCTTGTGTTCAAGTCACCCTTATTTTACTTAATAATGGCCCCAAAGTGCATGAGTTGTGATGGTGGCAGTTTGGATTTGCCAAAGAGAAGCCGTAAAGTGCTTCCTTTAAGTGAAAAGGTAAATGTTCTCGACTTAATAAGGAAAGAAAAAAATCATAAGCTGAGGTTGTTAAGATCTATAGTAAGAACTAATCTTCTACTTGTGAAATTGTGAAGAAGGAAAAAAGTTTGTGCTAGTTTTGCTGTTGTACCTCAAATATGTATGTAAAGGAAAAAACAAAGGGTTTGGTACTGTTTGTGGTTTCAAGCATCCACTGGTGGTCTTGGAATGTATCCCCCACTGATAAGGTGGGACTACTGTATATTGTAATTTTTCTTATTCATTTTTGTATCTTCAGAATCCAACATTTCTCCTGGTACCATGGTATTCAGTAAATAATAAGTGAATTGAAGTTAATATGGGTTTGAAATGGATATTAGACCATTTTAAATGCTGTTTTGGGTTTAAAGCTCACTTGAAAACAACTTATTTCTATGTGAATAGGTCTGTGTCATCATTGTCTCTAACACTAGCTGTATGAGTAGGTTGTTTACTGGAATTGTTGGTCCCCTGTTGTGACTGAGATACAGTGCTGAAGAAAAGTTACCACCCTCCTTACTTTTGACCCATTTCCTTACCTAAAAGTGTTTCCTCAGCATTATAACCCTCTAAGTCATAGAGCCTGCATGTCACTTAAAAAGCCCAAGATAATGGCTTTGCACAGAAAAATGATTGTGCCGAAGTATTTTGGCATTGCAATGACTTTAAACATTTCAGATTGAGAGAGACTAGGACTGCTCCATACAAATAAGTTAATTGCATCACAGTTAGTCCTAAGGTTCCTAAAACCTGTGGTCACTCCGGGAGACAATGGCTCTTCCTGCGCTAGGCCCTGGATGGAGACCAGAAAGTTGGTGGTGTTGCCCTTCCCTCTCTCCCTCCCTCCTTTTCTCCCTCAGCAGATAAATATTTCAATAAAATAACGGGGGGGAGAGACCCCCCCCCTTAAAGGTTATTATATCTAAATCAAACACATTTCAACCCTCAAAACCCAAATGTGCCAGTATATATTGTGGTATGCCCCAGTTTGCATCATTTTGTATGCTTTTAAATCAACACATTTAGCACTTTAGAAAATGATTTACCATCAAGTTTTAAATAGCTACCCGATATCATATGTTCTCTTTTAATTTCACAGCACATTGAGTAAAATTTGTCTGTAGATTTAGATACCATAAACATCGTTACTTTAATTCACACACATTCACAGGATATCAAGTTTCCAATTCCTAGGGTAAAGAACTTCTGTAGTAGAGTTCATTTGTAGTATTTAAGGAATGAATTGCTCCCATTTCTGCTTTTCTCAAATTACATTTTTACACATGTACAGATATATTTCTTTGATGCTCACCTTATTTATGAACAAGTAAGTGTTCAAGTTGAATTCATGAAGATTTAAAACAGTTTTTGTTGTGTAATTCAATAGACCTCCTCTCAGTCTACTGCTTCTGAGATCCCAGTAAGTAGCATGAGAATCCTAGGCAGTTGTTGCACCTGTGCTTGGAACAATTTGGTTTTGAATGTCAGATGCTCACCTTGCAAATCAGCGAAGTGTGTCCTCTCTGCATGAGTCCCTTCCCTCTCACTAGGCAAAGTTCTGGTGGTACCCTACAATGAGAACAATTTGTGGGGTGAGGATAAAGCCCACAGTTTATACGTAAGCAGATGGAATTGTGACCTTCAAAAAATGTAAACTGAATTTCAGCCAGAAATAATTTGTAAAATCCACATTAGTATTTAAAAGGATATTAAAACTTTCATTTCCAGGCTGGTCTATTAATGCTTCTTAGGAAAAAGGTAGAAGTGTAGCAGCTGGAAGCACCTTAGCATTTTTTCACATTTTTCCATTGTCTAACTGTAGTACAGCAAAAATCTTTATTCCTCAAGCATCAGAAGGAGGTTATTGTTAACACTGTATGCCCTCTGGCTTTAGCATTCGTACAGCAGTAGAGGCCTCGGAAACCCATGCTGGAAGAGTAGCTTGTAAATATCAAAGGTGATCAATAAAGAGTTTAGGTCTTTAACATGTGGTGGTCTTCTTCTCACTGGTTTTTAAATAAGATTTAGTGCCCAGATATTCCACAGTTTATTATAGATTTTAGGTTTAGACTCATTACTTGTTTTATTTTGACTCTGTTGCTGCCATTTTTACTTCAAATGTGTATACAAGATTAGTACTTCCCATTCAGTATGTAAAAAGAGCATTTGTTTTTAAAAGGTAGAAATTACCCCACTTTTAAATTCTGGTGCTTAAAAATAATGCACATATGCATGCACGCGCATGTGCCTGCGCGCGCATACACACGCTACCAGAGTGAATTAAGGTAAATATAGTAGGGTTTGATAACATAAAATTCCCTCTGGAATGAAACAGTGCTGTGGATATTTAATACTTGTGCATGTTTATTAAATGTTTTAACTGCTGCTCTTCTGCTTTTTTGGATTGATTCTCTTATGAGTTTTGGTGTCCATGCTATAACTTTCGGCTTTTTGAGGAATTGATTAACAGCACTGAATGTGTTTGATGCATTGTTTTGAGCATGAGTTTGGTGGAATTTATAAGAGGAAAAGCACTGTAAAGGGAGATGGAATTACCTGGTAGGTAGAAGTTAGAGGAGAAAGGAGCAAAAAGAAAATGTGTTGCTACAAAACTTTGAATGAGTGAGCTAGAGAGGATTTGAATGTGACTTGAGATTTCTTAACTACTCCTCCATGGATATAGAGTTGCCTCTAAGGAATCATGGTTTAAATTCTGTTTTCTTTTTGAAGGTCCCTGGTGGAGAGGCTACTTAATTGTGAAAGCAAAACTAAAGTAGAGCTCATACAAAAGGGAAGGGCAATCTTAGAGGAAGAAAAAAAGGCACACTGTATATAATGCAAGGAGCCTGGGCTAGAGGACAGACATGGATTCTCGACCTGACTCTGCCACTAGCTTATAATGTAGTGGCTTAACCTTCCTGGGCTATAAAATGGTCTGGCTCTTGAATCTATAATTCTTTGCTTATGAGTTTGAATATTGGGTATGTGTAGTTACACAAATGGTAAGAGATCCTCTTTATATGTGAGGAACTTTGAGAAACCCCAAGCAGTGAGTGGACCTTAAAAGAAACTTCGTATGCTTTGGTGGGATGTATGAAGAGGAAAAGAAGGCCAGTTCTGAGTTCTGCCTTTTTAAGGCAGAAGGAGGCAGTCTGTGGAGGGAACATTGAAGAGGAACATTGGAGTAGAAAGGAGAAGAAAAAAGAGAGATGTTCATTTGATATAAAATCAAGTATTTCTCTTTTATACGTCCATGTTCTTGCTGCATATTAAACTTCCCTGCATGTGACAGTCTGCATGAGTATTAAAATCTGCTGTTTTCCATATCTGTGACATGAGAACACATGGTTGTTTCTGGTGACTTGCTAGTATCTGCATACTAGCAACCAACATTGTTATCCTTCTTCCTTAAATTTGCAATGTTAAAATACATTAAAATTTGTATATCGAATGCATTTTAGGTAGCAGATATTTTGCATGCTCTGAGGTGTTTCTTTCTTATTCTGGAAGTCTGGGCACAGGCCCTCGGGCTCTGGTCCATTAGTAGGGATGTAAAACTTATCTGTTCTTTGTAGCAAAGTAGCACAGGCTGGTCCACTCCCTCGAGCAGCTGCTAATATCATTACAGTCATGCGACACATATGGACATTTTGGTCAGTGATGGACTGCACGTACGACAGTGGTCTCATAAGATTAGTACCATATAGCCTAGGTGTGTAGTAGGCTATACCATCCAGGTTTGTGTAAGTATACTCTGATGTTCACACAATGTTGAAATCACCTAACGATGTGTTTTTCAGACCGTATCCTTGTCGTTAAGTGACACATGACTGTAGTCGGTTTTCAAGTTTTATAGCTGTAAGGAGAGGCGATCCAAGGGGATCTGGGATGTAGGTGACTGCTGAGAGAGCAGCTTCTCTATAAGGGTTTGTAAAGCTCACTCTCACTCCACCCCAGGCTCTTCTCATTTTCTGTGCCTGGGACTTCCTAAGTTGTGACCATCTGAGGTTCAGAAAGCAGAGGCTGACGGCATATAAGAAAGTTGGAAGCTCGTCCAAGGAAGTCAGGAAGCAGGCAAAATTTTAGTTGGTAAAATTTTAGAAAATTGAGATTAGAACTCAGGCCTTTTAATTGCCAGTCTGGCAGTCACTTGTTTTGGGGGGGTGGGGTTTGGGGGGAGGGAGAAGGGAAAGAAGGGTACATAAAAAAAGAAAAAACAGTATGAGAGTCTGTTACAGGACACCCAAAGGACTGGCCACAAATCAGTGTCATCTTCTAATCTCTATCTTCTTAATCTCCTATTTCTCCTTTACAGTTTATCCTTACTGATATATTGTTGTTGTTGTTGTTTTTTTTTCCTTCTTAGATGTACAGGTCTTGAAAGAATTTTTAGCCGCATCAGCTGCAGTTTCTCACAGCACCTTGGGGTTAAGGACTTAAACAAAAACAGAGGGCCAAAGCTCCTTTTTTCTCAGAACACAGGCAAGATTTCTTAGTCTTTCTCTTACTCCCAGTCCTATTACAAGTCTAAGGGAATTTTGTAGATTATAGACTTAGAACTAAGCAAGAAGTCTCTAGTCCTCAGGTAGAAACTCCCAGCCATTATCTGAGTAATATTTTGCTTTCTTCTCTTTTTTAATCCCTGCCCCAGTTTCTGTTTCTTTGTCCCAGACATCTAGCACTGGGCTTCTTTTTGATCCCCACATCCTTGTTCTGAGAGTTCTCTGCTTACTCTGGCAACTGCATAGTGTGGCAGGGTTTGCAGAAGTCTGTTTCTGAAACTGCCTTGGCTAACACGAGGGCCACCCTGTGCAAGGCAGCACTCTCTTGCTTCTGTCTGTGTTGGAGGAGACTGCCTCCCTCTTCTCATGCTAAACATGCATTGTTGGAATGCTACTTGCAACTCCCAGAGCCACATTTTGGCTGGGCATGATACGGTATAAGAGACAGTGGTCTACCCCTTTTCCAAGGAGTGAGAATATCCACTCATTTTACCAGGCTCTCTTTAGATGTTTTGGAAATTGTTTTAGGAAGACAGGGGTTGAGTCAGGATGAGTTGAGGGGCAGGGGGAGGATTCTCATGTCCACTTGAGGATTTATCACCCTGTTCAGATGCTTTCCCTCCTGTCTGCCTTCTCTGATCCATCTCCGCTATTGTACTTACTCCCGTGTTCAGTAGAGTCTGCTGACCAGATTGGCAGGGACAAGACTGTTCCAGCTTGCTCATGCCCCAAGTCCCACTTGGCAAACAGGGCTCCTCAACTGGTCTTTTGAAGCAAATTAGACCTAGCTAGTTTTAGGACCTTTGACCACTGTGTGGCCTGTTCCCTCCTCCTCGATACCTGTGGGTTTATTCTACTGAGCAAAGACCCTGTCCCGTCTTCTTTTCTGTGTAACCTGCAGGCAGTTTAGACCTCCAGTCTTTTTCAGGATACTCCTTTGCTGACACAAAGCTGCAAGCTCACTTTGTCATTTGGGGCAAATGACAAGTATAGTCCCACTAGGACCTCGATCTGCAGTTCTTTTCTGTAAACAAGACAGAATTACCATTCTGGTTCCTTTCAGCTTCTGTGTCATTGCAAATCAGAGCTAGCTGTAGTGTCTAAAGTAGTACTGTGAGAGATGAGCTTGTGAGTTTGATGTCTGAGAGATGACATATTTCCCTGTTCTTTCAGAGGTGGTGCCTCCTCTTTGTTGTCTTCATGCTATGACATGACTTGAGGCCACTGATTTAGAGATAGAGAAAGGGAAACCCTAATTCACTCAATAGTAATCACTTGAATTCTATTGATCCGGATGAATTGACAGTTCTCCTTGCTTCTTTCCCCTGTAGAGCTTTCTAATCACTCTTGTTGGACACTTGACGAACTGCAGGGTCAATGCCTTTTTGACTAAGGGGACTTCATCTTTTTTAATTGCAGGTTCCATTACAGCTTATAGAAAGTGTTGAATGCCGAGATATATTTCAGCTTCATTTGACTTGTAAAGACTGCAAAGTTATCAGGTATGTGGCATGTTATGCTGTTGTTTAGTGTGGAAAATATTTTTTAAAGACTGGATCCATGATTTGATAACAGAAAAACAGCTTCTGAGGGTCAGCCTTGTTAGGAATATTTTCTGAGTAGTTAGTGCCTGAAATATTTTATCTTTAAGGGTACTTTGCTATTTAAAAGCTGTTTTTTTAGTCGGAGATAATTTCGAATTTACAAAAAAGTATAAAAATAAAAATAGTACAAAGAACACTGGTATTAACATTTTACCTCATTTGCTTTATCATTTGCAGGGGACTCTGTGTGTGTGTGTGTGTGTGTGTGTGTGTGTGTGAGAGAGAGAGAGAGAGAGAGAGAGAGAGAGAGAGAGAGAGAGAGAGATTCTTTTTCTGAACCATTTGAAAGTAAGTTACATAATCACGGCTCTTCACCCTGAAATACTTCAGTGTGCTTTCCTAAGAATAGGGATTTTTTTTTTACATAACCACAGTATCATTATCAACTTGACAATTTTACACTCCTAATACTTTTATCCAAAGCTGTTATTCGTGTGCTAATTTTGTCAGTTGACCTAATAATGCCCTTTATAGCATTCCCCCACCCCCACCTTGTTCAGAACAGCATCCAGTCAAGGTCAGATATTACATTTAGTTGCCTTGATTCTATAGCTTCTTTAATCCGGAATATTCTTCACCATCTTTCTTTGTCTTTTGTGACATTCACATTTTGAAAAATACAATCTTTTATTTTAGTAGAATGTTTCTCATTTTGTGTCTGTCCAGTGTTTCCTCATGATTAAACTGAGGTTGTGCAGTCTCAGCTGGAATACTGTATTTATGAGGTTATGTCCTTTTCAGGGTATTGTATTACGTCTGGAGGCAAACAGCGTCCATCTGTCTCTATTGATGTTAATTTTTATCACTCTTGTCCAGGTGTCACCTGCTTTCTGAATAATTTCTATGTTTTCTCCCTTGCAACTAATAAAGTCTCTGGGAGGCCCTTTAAGACAGTGAAAACCTGCTTTTCATCAAATTGCTCCATAGGTTTAGCATCCATTAATGGTTTTTATCTGATCTAATCTTTACTGCAATGATTGCAAAATTATGCCTGAAATGTGTTTTTAAATTTAGTAGCTCTATAAGTTTTAAATTCCCGAAGTTTTTACTTTATCTCTTTAACTGTTCTGGAGTGCCAATAAACATTGTGTGTTGGCATGTTGATGAGCCACTGATTGAGACAAGGAGAGGTTTAAGTGACCTCCTTGGTTTTAAGGTAAATATTTAAATTCCTTTTTAGCCATTGAGATTTGGCTTGCTTTTGATAGATACTGCCTACAATTCACAGTTGAAAAAGCTTGCTTACTAATTATTCAATTTTAAACACTGCCTGCATTTGAAAAGGTAAAGTATTTTTTGCATTATTTTAACTTTATATATACTGGAACTTGCGATTGATAATAGAATTGTTTTGTTCTGTACATGGTCACAGCTGAAAGTTTCAATGTAATATATCTTATTTTGTATCTAAAATTGCTGATTTGTTCTAATTGCTTAATAGACAGATTTTGAAATTATTCCTTAACTGGTCAAAAGTAGTGCTGTAATTTATTTTTAAGCTCAGCCTAATGTGTTATAAAAAAACAAAAAGAACTTCTCTAAACATATTTCTTGACAACCATAAAGCTTTGATGGAAGAAGTAGAATGAAACCCCATTCATGGAAGAGAATGACTGCTATTTTACTTGAATAATTGTCATTAATCTCAGAAGAGATTTCACTAGTCTAAAAAATAAGTTTTCCACATGTTCAGCTTTCTTCCTTTTGACATTTTTGCACCATTGACCAAAATTTGTCAAACCTGTTTTTATTACAAATGTGTGAATGACCACCTTTAATGCTTTTTGACTGTAGTTGTCACTTTACCCTGAGTAGGCACTCTTGAAATGGTGGCTTCTCTTAGGTTTAATTGTCAGCTGTCTTCTGATTACATCGTACTTGTTTGGCTTTACAAAGGTGTCAGTTCTCAACCTTTGAGCAGTGTCAAGAGTGGCTTAAGAGACTGAACAATGCAATTCGACCACCTGCTAAAATAGAAGATCTCTTCTCATTTGCATACCACGCTTGGTGCATGGAGGTCTACGCCAGTGAAAAAGAACAACATGGAGACCTGTGCAGACCAGGTAGGCATTTCTAAAATGTACAAATGGTGGCTTTATTGAACTACCACTTGAGGTACCCTTAGCATGAAATGAGACTCCTAAGCATTCATGTATTCAATCAATATATATATTTTATGGAGCACCTAGCATGTGTCCATCATTCTTCTAAGCTCAATAGAACATGTTTTCTGCCTTTCAGGGGAAGGGAAGGACACTAGATTTGGCATCACAATCTACTGGGCCTAAAAATAACTATAGTAAGGTTTGATGGGTTTTATGGGGAGCCGTGAGTGTTGTATACACTCTTGGGAAGACTTCACATTAGAAGTGGCTTTTGAGTAGGCTTTGAAGGTTGAATGAGGGTTCATTGATTAGAGAATGGGGAAAAGAACTTTAGACCGAGCAAGTAGCATGAACAAAGGTATAGAGGTGTGAGGTTAGGCCACAGAATAGTGGAGTACAAAATGGCCTTTCACTATATTTGAATTTTCAAGTCATAGATTACCTGAAGTCACCCTTTTCATCCCATAGATGATGAAACAGAGGTCTAGAGAGGCCAGGTGACTTCCCTCAGGACAAATAGAGAAGCTGAGCCCGTACGGGAATCCAAGCTTTTTGACTCCTCATGAGATCTTTGTCCTGCTCACTATCTTTCTCCCTCAGAAATGGCTTTGACCAAGTTCATGTTATTTCCCTGCATGTAGTTGTCTGTAAACTTTATGCTGCCATAAATAGAACTTTGCTGGTCCAACACTGAATCTTTAGTGTGTCCAATTTGGAAGCAAAGTCTTGAATTCCTAAGCATTGAAAAGTTGTGAGCTTCATTCCAATACAGTTTACTCTTGGGACTTTTTTCTTTAAACTTCAATTTTTAGTACTGAATCTTTAATCTTAATAGTTCAGCCCTGGGTCATTCTAAACATTTGAGGCTAATCTAGCTATTCTTGTATCACTTTGTTCCCCGGTTCTTTCACTGGTTGAAGCTTCTGGTTCATATTCTTGTTTAACTAAAATATAACAAACATAAGCATCATCTTATTTTTAAAGATGCTTTGATATGTACTATTGTTTGACCCTCATGACCTCGTCAAACAGGATGTCTGGTATCTCGGTTTTGGGAGCCAAAGAAATGGAGACTCAGTGGTAAAGCCTGTTGCCAAGTCCCACTGCTAGGCAGTGACAGATCTAGGACTTAAATCCAGTTCTCAGCTATTGAGAGCTGACTGTGGGATGGCTGTGGATACTGAGATGAAAAACAGAGGTATCTGCCCTTGTGGAGCCTCAGTGAAAGCCTTAGGAATCCAAGCTTCCCATGAGCCTCGTCAGGCTAGTGGAACCCAAAGTCACCCATGAGAGACCACATCAACCTTGGAAGTTTATGAGAATGTGCTTAAACTCTCTCACTTCACTCCCTTATCCATTGCATCTCTTCTTCCTTCTTTATTGAGATGCCATTTTTTTTTAATTTTATTTTTTTGTTTATGGCTCTTTTCAAGGTGTTTTTTTTTTTTTTTGTGAGGAAGATCAGCGCTGAGCTAACAATCATGCCAATCCTCCTCTTTTGGCTGAGGAAGACTGGCTCTGGGCTAACATCCATGCTCATCTTCCTCCCCTTTATATGGGATGCTGCCACAGCATGGCTTGACAAGCAGTGCATTGGTGCGCGCCTGGGATCTGAACCCGGGCCACCAGCGGCGGAGCGTGCGCACTTAACTGCTAACGCCACGGGGCCGGCCCCTCAAGTTTTTTTTTTAAGGTAAAGTTTACATACAATGAAATGCACAAATCTTATGTGTACATTTGCTTAGTTTTTAACCATTACATCTTAATTATTAAATTTTTAGTCTCTACCATCTCCTGGGATAATGAAGTTAATGAATCTAGCTTGCTGCATTATGTTATATGGAACTTTGATTTAAGACTCTTAACTCCAAAAGGCATTTCCTAGTTTTGAGTTGCCAGTTTTTAGTCAACAAGGCTTGCTTTCTCCTAGCTTATTCTCTCCCAACCACAGAGTGAAAATTCCTCATCTTTTTAGATGATTCTTTATTCTCTTGAAAATTTCAGTTTTTTTTTTTTTTTTGGATTTGAGCCAACTTTTAGGATATTCTTAAGTTGTGCCAGGTCAGAACTTCAGTCTTGTCTTTTAGTTGTGGATGACTTTGTCCTGAGCTGGGATGACTTTGGTCCTCAGGCCCTTTCTTTCCTGATACCTGGTATTCTTTGACCACCAGGACATAGAGATGTCCACAGTGTCCTCTGTCTTTTTATGGGTTTGTGATGGATGGAAGCATTTGGGGGAGTAAAGTACTGATTTAGAAACTAGAAAACGTGAATTCAAACCCATACTCTACCAGTTAATTAAAAAAATAATAGTGGGCAAGCCATTTATCCTCTTTATAGTTTCCTTTGTTCCTTTAGCTGGGGCATTCTTGTTCTTTCTGCCCAAGCTGATCGGGGTTTCCTGAAGATGAAGTCTGTTAAGACTGGAGAGTTCAATTCAGGAAATGTTTGAATGCCTACCATGTGCCATGCTTGTGAAAACATTTTGGAAACTATGAATATGCAAGGTGATGCCATTGTAACTGATTGGTTGGAATGCATGAATGGAACTGCATGAATAAAGGTTATATTTTATTTCTTCCCAATATATACAGTCCACACTGAAATTAACCTGCTACCACTCACATGGAATCTTATTGTACTTCAGTGACTTGGTTAGAGTGTGTGTGTATGTATGGCTTTTTCCTTTCATATATTTTCACTGTGAAGTACAGGGGAAAAACTTGCTCTTAAAAAATACCATGGTGGCATTTTTAAAGCCAGTCAACCTGGTCCTTCTGTCTCCACCCAATATTGTTGAGTATTGGTGGTGGCTACAGTATTACTCACCAAATATGAGCATACCAGACAACCACATTCTTATAAGTCATCTTTAGGGTGAGATAGCACTTGAGATATTTCAAAGTGATACCTTTGTATAATATCCCCCTACATATGAGATCACAAGCATAGACTCTAAAGGGTAGAAGTTAGTTTAGTCTTTCAACAGTTAATAAAGTGTTTTTTGGATTCTTCTCTGCCTAGCCTATTAAGAGTAGACTGTGTCAAAGAGGAGGGAAATGGGAAAATTAGATCATTACCTTGTATTCATATAAATCTTAGTTTCTAACTGTTCTAACTGTTCCAGCCATACTGGGGCCACAGCTCTGGGTCTTAATCTGCTTTGGGAGAAGTCTCAACATTGCCATTGGAGTTCATCTGTAAAACTTGCAAAAACCTTTGCAAAACTCTTGACTTTGCTTTTAGCCCCATTTCAAACTCTAAAAGAAATGGACTAAAAGCTTAAAGCTTCTTTCCCATGTGTTCAACTTCCTTCTGCTCATTGTAGTTGCCTTCTTGGTGATCGTTCTATACTTAAGCATTAATTTGGAGTCCTGACAGATGACTGGGCAATTCAGTAGCATCAGGCCCACCTCTTTGACCTCTCTTGTGTGAAATGCCCATTAAGCACATCTTGTTTAACCATGAACAGCATATGACTTTGGGTCTTGTACTGTTGTGCAGCTGCCTGTTTAGTATAAAGTAAAAGCCCTTGCCACTGGAGTCTGTCCTCTGACTTTGAATGCAGTTCCGTAAGTGTACATCTCGATGACTGTACTGGGACCTTTGTTCATAGAAAAGAATGATTTCTCCCTCCATACTCGAAAATCTGCAAGGGCTAGTTCTCGCCTTCTGTGACTCTGGTACTGTTCTTCTTCACATACTGGGTAAGGGCCTGGCTCTTTTATTCCAGGTCTTTAAGCTGGGTGTAATTGTGGGCTTGAATACTCAGAATCGCCCAGGGAGCTAGGCTTTTTTGGGGAAAAATTTTTTAGACTGCCAGTTGACATTGTGACTATGATAGAGAAACTCATTTCTTTAAAAAAGTTTTTATTCCCACTAAAATAAGAATTGCTGGACTGTTTGTAGTGCAAGAAATACTAAATGTTAAAATGCGATAAATCCTCATTTGGGGATAGGGGCGGCAGACAGGAACGGTTGAAATGGAAATATAAAGCCAAACAAAAAACTTAGGACCTTAATATTTAAAATAAAATTGAGGGCCGGCCCTGTGGCTTGGTGGTTAAGTGCGCGCGCTGCGATGCTGGTGGCCCAGGTTCGGATCCCGGGTGCGCATCGAGGCACCACTTCTCCATTCATCCTGAGGCCGAGTCCCACATACAGCAACTAGAAGGATGTGCAGCTACGACACACAACTATCCACTGGGGCTTTGGGGGGAAAAATAAAATAAAATCTTTAAAAAAAAAAATAAATAAAATAAAATAAAATTGAGATATTACAGCATATCTAATGTTGAATCAATGAAGACAGAATTCTGAGAGGGAAATTCTTAAGGGAAATTCAGCAATAGATGTGCTTGGCATTCACTTTTCTGGCTGAATAAACGTTAAGTGAACTTCTAACACAATTTGGCAAAAGCCAGTTGAATTACTCACGTATGTAAGGTCTGTTGCTAGATTTTTTTCAAGCAGTGGTTTTCAAACTATAGGTTGTGATCCATGAAATCAAAGTTTTAAGAAATAAAGTATGAAGTGAAACAGGATAGACAATATCAAAATGTCTTACACTTATAGTAAAGATAGGTATTGTTTTGTGAAATCTTTTTTTAAAAATAAACATTTGTATTGTGATGTAAAACAATTCTTATTGTGGGTTGTGATGGTCAGTTTCAAAGTTTATGAAGTCACTGTCTTAGAGGATACAAAGATAATTAAAACTTACTCCTTGTTCTCAAGGAACTTGAAATAAGATTTTCTATGCTTGCTGCTCAGTATGTATTTCTTTGTAGCTCAGAATTTCATGCTCTGGATGGTGGTTCTAAGCCCTTCTTTGGGCAGTGGTTCTATGTAGTAAATTGCCAGTGGTGGTGGTGATTATTTTTAAATTATAGGATCCTTTTAGGGCATCTGTGTGTTTAAGATAGAGGTACGAATGTAAAGGACCATTAATTAAAGTACTTTTACCTTTTGCAAAAGACTTGGAGCTGTATCCCAGGGTGGGGAAAATCTCATTAATTAATGAACTTAAGCAGTAGTTTTACAGCTTTTAGATTGGGATTATAAGTGAAAGACTCCCCTGTCTAGTATTCTTGATGGTCACTATTCCTTGCAATTTGTAAACAGATGGAGCCCCAGTTCAGATAGCTTTTTTCCTATTTGGAAGCCTACATCGCTTCTGAAACTTTTCCAAAATAGGCTAGGTTCAGCTGATTATTTCTTTCTGCATCTCTGAACCTCATCTTTTTATAGCTCTCCTTCAGGAAGCCTATAATACTTAGTTTAAGTTCAAGAAAAGCAGTTTAAATGGGAAGCAGTTTTATAGAATTGTCCTTCATTCAAGTAATTGCTGTTTCCTATTCTGAAGCTCCTTTCCCAAGGAGAGCAAAGCTTTATACTTTGATCACCAAAGCAGTCTGTTTTGTGCTTTTGTTTGTTTTTGTAGTTTCTCCCAGCCCCCACCAGCATTTATTTTGTAACCTGTAACACTATATATTAGAGGTACTGCATAATGGTTTTTTGTTTGTTTGTTTATAAAATTACTGCCCTAGGACTCTGTGTGTTTTCAAGAAAGAAAGTTATTTCAGGTTTAATGTCTTTATGTTAGGAACCTAAGGAAGAGGAAGCCAAATTCACTGGGGCAAATGTAGGCAGATTATATACTTGTTTGGGTGGATGTTCTTACAGATGCTAAGCACTTTACTTAATAGTATGGTGTTTCCTAAGATTCCTGGGTACTTGCTGTTATCGTTCCATGATCTCTTATCTGCAATTATGTAATTTGTAAGGCTTTGGAAATTGAAAGATTTTTCTTATTTTATTTGGTGGCTTGACCTGATCTGAGCTGACATGAAGCTATTTGTTGCTTTATTTATCCCATTTAGTTTGAATTATCCCATGCATTTCACTGTAGAAATATTAATAGTTGGTTAAGTAGGCCCTGATGAGAGTGTTAACCTAATATTTTAATATATATACTATCTTAAAATCTAGAAAACTCTCAAGTTCTGAAATCTGGCCCAAACAGTTTCTGATGAGGAGTTGTAGATCTATGTTACTGTTCTTGGTGAACTTGTTGATTTTATTTCCTTTGTATACTGTCAGTCTGAGTGTGGAAATGGGAAAGTAGCCAGTATAGTGATAAGAACATGGGTTTTGGGACCAGACAGACCTCCATAATCTCTCTCAGTCTCAGTTTTGTCCTCTGTAAAATGAGCTCAAGGATACTACCCTCAGAGTTGATAGCAGTGATTAGAAAATATAGTTCTTGATTAAAATTAATTTCCTCATTCCTTTTTATAGTCTTATCCTGACAGGGAATTTTTAACTAAAACTAAATATGTTATTTATATAATACTTGCCCTTCTTTTTTTTTTCTTTTAATAACTGAGCAGGGTAGCTATGCTTTTATTCCACCTGTTTTGCAAAATGGTATTCATTTCTTTCTTTCTGCTGTCTGTCTTTGGCCCCTAGGGGAGCATGTAACGTCAAGGTTTAAAAACGAAGTGGAGCGGATGGGTTTTGATATGAACAATGCCTGGAGGATTTCCAACATCAATGAGAAGTACAAGTGAGTAGTATAGGTCCCTGTGGACGGTGTTTCACAGCCAGTGCCTTTGCAGAAACCCCAATTCTCATGTGACAAGAACATCTGAACTTAGACTTTTTCTTTCAAATCGAGTTTTATTTATTAAATGTAAATGCATGATCTTTAGGGTACTTCAGAGCCATATGTTCCCATTGCTATCACTTGAGTGGAAAAGTGGTCCTTACTTAATAGGATCCTAGAACCTTCCTTTTTACTCCTTCCAGACCTCTATTCTTCCTGGCACATGCATGTCTGGATAATATTGTTTTTACCTGTAGGCAGGCACTTTCTGTTATTCTCATCGCTACTTGACATCACATTAGAGATAGAATCAGTGATCTTATAAGCAATGATAAAACACTTGGGAGCTAACTTTTATGATGTGATTTTACTCCACATCCTATGAAATAGGCATAAATATTCCATTCTTCAATATATGATGTAAAACGAACTTCACAGCTATGATCATTTAACCATTAAATATTAATGTAACCATTATTAAATTTATTTCCCATTACCTGTTTCCTTAAGAGATCTAAGTACTTTGGTGGGGGAGGGCAGTTAGCCACTGTGATTTTGGTGATCTAAGTTTCTATAAAACAAAACAAAATTGTCCAGGAGATTTAAATTAATATATCCTTCTCCTCTTAAGTTCCCTGCAGCAGTTGGAGACATTAATCATTCTGTTGTCCTTTGAGCTGCCTCAATTATGATAGCCGTTTTCCTGGTCTATTTGTGGGTAGCCATCAGAGCATTTCATTTTTCACTGGAAAAACTACAGCTAATTATTGTACATAGCTCTTAACATGGACCTTGGCCAAGGAGTTAGGAACCTGGAGTGTTGTGAAGACTTGGGAGCTACAGACCTGTCATACCTTTGCTTGTTCTCATTGACAAGTCAAAGCAGAGAAAGAAGATGGAGACTGGAGGAGGGGGCCTCAGAGGCTGCCACAGGCTTTGCTCATGTGTAATCCACCTTTCCTGTACTGGAAACTGCTTATCTACAAGTGAGCAAGCTAGTACTTGCTGAAGGGCTGACTACTAGGTAGTGTAATACTTATAGGACAAGGAATATAATGATCAGAAAATTGGGTATAGTCAAAAAACTGAATTAAGCTAAGCTTGTTGAAAAAACGTTTGGGTTCAAAAGGCATTGGTTTTTATTTATTTATTTTTTTTTTGAGGAAGATTGACCCTGAGCTAACATCTGTTGCCAGTCTTCCTCTCTTTTTTTTTTCTTTTTTCTCCCCAAAGCCCCAGTTCACAGTTGTATATCATGGTTGTTGAGTTGTAGCCCTTCTATATAGGACGCTGCCTCAGCATGGCTTGATGAGCCGTGAGTAGGTCTGCGCCCAGGATCCGAACTGGCGAACCCTGGGCCACTGAAGTGGAATGCATGAACTTAACTGCTACACCACTGGGCGGTCCCTGCCATTGGTTTTTAAAATCTCTATTTAATATGGGTTTTAAAAATCAGCTTAGTGTCTTTGAGTCCACTATTTCCACCTCAAAACCAGTCTTCAGGACATTGAAAAGTTCTTCCTACTACAAAGGAAGAATGAGAGCCAAATTTACTTTTAGGTTTAAAACAAGATAAAAGGAGCAAGACTCATGGTTAGAGTATTAACTGTGATCACTGTGTCCCAGGTTATTTTTAGGAGTTTGTGAGTAGGTGATAGGAAGTTTATAGAGCTACTCTTGGTTATAGACATTCTCCTGTTCAGTGGCTTTTAAATTCCTGATACTTAATCTTCTGGAAATTGAGAACAGGAGAGAGAGATTTAGTGCAGAATGATCAAAACCCCCAATTCCTAAGCCACTCTGTATTTTTCTGCCTTTTCTCCTAATGCATAGGATAGGCTAGGGCAGGGCCGCCGCGGTGGTGGTGGAGGAGGAGGAAGAGTTTGTATATTTTAGGATTTGGGTTAAAAGTCTTATTGCCTTCACTATTGAAAAGGAATATTGTGTTACCCATAGAGAGACATTGTCCTGTAAGTAAAAAACCTATCATAAATACTGCTTTCTGGGGCACCAGCTTGACTAGCATGCAACTACCAGCATCTTCCCTAATGAAAACAGAGCTTTTTTCCCCGGAATGTAGTTTGTTCTGAAGTATATTTTATAGAAATTATGATTAATAGTTTATTCACATTACTAACTTGGCTCAATGGGGCTGTGATTATACATGCAAATGGCTGACCTGTGGTACTGTTTCTTCATATCCATGGCTGCACCTGTTCCCAATAATTAGGACACCCTGTTTGGTTCACATCAAAGAATATGTTGATAATTGTGTGAGGTCTCTGGAAACTTGAAATCGTGGGCTCTCACCTGTTTCCCTTTGACAAAAGCCTGAAAGACTGAAGGTCTGGTAGAGATGACACAGACTTTCACTTCTGTAGTTGGACTGGGCAGTTGTGTAGTTAGAAATGACCTGTATTTGTTATAACAGAGAGACAGAGAGTTACGATGGAGTAACTGCCTCTCAACTCCCCTTTTTTTCATTGATGGTTAAAATTGTCGGATTCCCCAAAGGCAGCATTGAGTGGAACAATCCAAGATAGTATCACATGATATATACATAAGTAAACACTTGAGGCAGCCCATTCTGCTGAGCAGACCAAGACTCAAGTAATGTTCCTCATTGCCTTTTAACTGGCTCTGGGGTAGCTTGATCAACCTCTTTATGCTAGCTCACCTAGTGTCTCTCCCTCCCCTCCCTCCCTCCCCTCCCTCTCCCCCCCCCACCTCGTCTTCACCCTCTCCCTCTTTCTCACCTTCCCTGTTAGGCTGTGTGGTAGTTATCCACAGGAGCTCATAGTGCCTGCCTGGATCACTGATAAAGAACTAGAAAGTGTAGCAAGCTTCAGATCCTGGAAGCGCATCCCTGCCGTTGTCTACAGGTAAGTAAGCCTGGCCAGGCCCAGCTTGGTCTGGTGCTACTGCCCCCTGCATGTGGTCATGTAGTCTGCCGCCTCTGCTGCTGCTCATTTGGGAAGGGAGGGAAGGGTTCAGGGAACTTTCTAGGCAATTCCGTGCTTCCTTGTTGCTAAAGCTGCTCTTCTAGTCACACACACCAGTACTTACTGCATCCAGAACACTAGCTGATGGTTCAGTTGGTCCTGAAATTTTAAGATCTGTCTGACATTCTGTGGGAAGATAATGTGCTGACTGCATTTAGCTTCAGGTGTTGGCCTTTGGATTGAGAGAGATGAGTCCTAGAAAGTGAGAATTGGGAGTATGGAGTTGAATCATTTGTGATTGTCTTTGTGGTTGAAATTTCAACACATGGAAGAGCTCTGCTTTGAGAGGAATGCTTTAGAGAAGACAGGTCTTAGCTGGATAGAAGATCTCAGAGATCAAAGGCAGAAGAGCCAAAGGAGGCAAGTTCTAGAAGGGGATGGTGGCGTGGTGATGAGCACAGGTTTTGGTGTTCAGGTCTTTTCTCTGACACTCCTTGCTGTGGCGCCTTGAGGAAGTTCCCTAATTGACCTCAGCCTGTTCCTAATTAGTAAAATGGAAATGATGTTCTTTGCAGATATGCTGTGACATCTGAATGTGAATCTATAAACACTGGGCTCCTCTAAGAAATATCTGGAATAGGTTGTATTCCTGAGGGCTGCTTTTATAATTCAGTGAATGGCTCAGTTCTCACAGAATCATATTAAATTTTTTAAAAAATTATATTGAGGTCATAATAGTTTATAACATTGTGAAATTTCAGTTGTATATTATTATTTGTCGGTCACCATATAAATGTGCCCTTTTACCCCCCTGCCTACCCCCCACCCTCTTTCCCTCTGGTAACCACTAATCTGTTCTCTGTCCGTGTGTTAGTTTATCTTTCACATGTGAGTGAAATCATACGGTGTTTGTCTTTCTCTATCTGGCTTATTTTGCTTAACGTAATACCCTCAAGGTCCATCCATGTTGTTGTGAATGGGATGATTTTTGTCTTTTTTTATGGCTGACTAGTATTCCATTGTGTATGTCTGTGTGCGCGAACGTACATATGTATATACACCACATCTTCTTTATCCGATCATCAGTTGATGGGCACTTGGGTTGCTTCTGCTTCTTGGCTATTGTGAATAATGCTGCAATGAACATAGGCGTGCATAAGTCTCTGAATTGTTGATTTCAAGTTCTTTGGATAAATACACAGTATTGGGATAGCTGGGTTGTATGGTATTTCTATTTTTAAATTGAGGAATCTCCATGCTGTTTTCCATAGTGGCTGCATCAGTTTGCATTCCCACCAGCAGTGTATGAGGGTTCCCTTTTCTCCACATCCTCTCCAACGTTTGTTATTTTTTTGTCTTGGTGATGATAGCCATTCTAATGGGTGTAAGGTGAATATCTTAAGTGTAGTTTTGATTTGCATTTCCCTAATAATTAGTGATGTTGAACATCTTTTCATTGCCTATTGGCCATCTGCATATCTTCTTTGGAAAAATGTCTGTTCATATCCTCTGCCCCTTTTTTGATCGCGTTCTTTGTTTTTTTGTTGTTGAGTTGTGTGAGGTCTTTATGTATTTTGGAGATTAACCCCTTGTTGAATATGTGATCTGCAGATATTTTCTCCCAGTTGGTGAGTCGTCTTTTCGTTTTGTTCCTGGTTTCCTTTGTCTTGCAGAAGCTCTTGAGTCTGATGAAGTCCTATTTGTTTATTTTTTGTTTCCCTTGCCCAAGTAGACATGGTACTCGAAAAGATCCTTCTAAGACCAGTGTCAAAGAGTGTGCTTCCTATATTTTCCTCTAGGAGTTTTATGGTTTCAGGTCTTACCTTCAAGTCTTGGATCCATTTTGAGTTAATTTTTGTGTGTAGTGAAGGATAGTAGTCTACTTTCATTCTTTTGCATGTGGCTGTCCAGTTTTCCCAACACCATTTATTGAAGGGACTCCTTTCTCCATTATATGTTCTTAGCTCCTTTGTCGAAGATTAGCTGTCCACAAATGTGTGGTTTTGTTTCTATGCTGAATCATGTTAAATTTTTAAGAAGTCGTTCCTTCTTATTTTGGAACTGTTTCAGATGTCACCTCCTTGTAATATTCACATTCTCCATTTCATTTTCTCCAGTTTGCACGCTTTTTGGACTCTCTGTGATTTTGGACCAAACCAGTGGAGCTTAGAAACTCGTTCATGCCAGGAGGCATTCTATTGAAATATTGAGATTATAGGAAGGGATTTATCTCCTTGTAGAATTCCCACTGAGATAACTGGCTTATTCAGTTAGTCCACTGAAGGCAAATTCTGATGGCCTCCCTGAATAGAGAGAGATGGGAAACTATTTGCTTCTGGCCCAGTGGAACCCATTAAGTTTTCAACCTCAATTTTCATCACTGTTGTTTTCAGACACCCCTAAAAAAGTAGGTCACCAAATTTACCTATCACTCAAATGATAAGGATGACACAGGAATTAGAGAGCAGTTAAAGCTGAAAGAATTTATGAGTCTTATCAGTGATCAGACCAGCTCAAATAGGGAAAGCAGCCAGCTGCTACTCTGTAGCCAACAGCTGTGTTAGATCAGCAGCCCTGGCATTTGTGGGGTCTGCTGACTTTGAGCACAAGGGGAAAGGACTCTCATTTTCTAAGTAAGGGGCTTTAGGTGAATTCTCCCTGTAGAGAAGCCTAAAAGTGCAGGTTGAAGAAAAACTTCTTAGAATAAACATGGGAAACCTGTTTTCCCTTTTAAAATTTATTCTAGAGGGCATGAGCCATCGGTTTTTTCCCAACCCTTTCTAGAGACCATGGAGTATATATAAATGAAAAAAAAATTTTTTTGAGTCAAATTTTTTTGAGTCAAATTTTCTTAGAAAACTTATCTTTTTCAGTTTGGGCTATATCTTGGAATAATGAATTCCATAATTAAGACAGCACAGTGGGAGATAATATTCCCTAGTATTAACTCTTACCGAAAATTTTTATTTGCAGTTTCTCAGAGAAAATCTGGTCTCAAAAGATTATCAATGAAAGTTCTTGGTGTAGTTCACATAAAATCAGACAGGCTTCCAGGAACTGGCCTCTGTTACAGAACATGTGTCTTGTATCTCTGAGCTCCAAACTGGGTTGTTATATTATTTGGGAGCTTTGTAAGGGATATGTTGAAGAATGTTTTGGAATACTCTACCACTTTCTGCTTTTTCAGCCCAGGTGTCAGGATACTTATGAATCCAAAATATGTTTACTGAATTTAGTTGTCTGTAGACTGCAGTAATGATTCCTGGGGTTACTAGCAGCAGTTACTTGACAGCACCATGCCGAACCAGCGCCTGATTAGTGCTTTCTCCTACTGTGATGAGAGAGTGCTAATTGGATTTATTATTGAGGACAGAGATTGCTCTAACACAGCAAGATGGTGCGAAGGCTGCCCATCTGTAGTACAGTTCACAGCTCCCCCCTCTGTGCGTTGAATGATTGTTAGAAACTTCGAGTCATTTAGGGAGCTTGCCTAATATTAACCTAGGGATAGTTTGAACAGTTATATGTTTTTATATAAAATTGAAGCATTCATTATTTAGTTGGGGATTCGTCCATTGTACATCTTAATTTTTATCCTTTTCCTGGTTCTGTTTGTTAAAATGATAAGTACGCTCTTTAGTGATTTTTATCTGTAGTGTTTTAATTCTCTTTGATGCAGTCTGAAGCATTTTAGACGACTGCAGAAAACTTAACTGCTTATTGCAACAGCTCGCTTGTGATCTAGCGATTATAATGCCATGGCCCTTCAATCGCAAGACCTAGGCTGAAGAGTGCCATCTTCTGTTCCTCTTGGGCACTACTGGGAAGCATTGCAGAGGAGGAGGATCCTCAGGAAATGCCCTGCCAACCTCTTCTGTAAAGGTTTGGCGTCAATCAGCTCAGTGGTTACCCAGCACCTATTATTATATGCTAGTGGGCATTTTAAGAATCAGTAAGGTTTTATTTCCAGTTTGGTTCCATTCAGCAGGTGAACCAATTGAGTGTGTTAGCAGTACACAGATACTTTCCGTTAATTGTCTCTTCCAATGAGGGAGGATTTAAAAACTACAAGAAAATTGGTGGTTCCAGTGGAGTTTGATTATTGCCAAAGTTAATTTATGGCTTGTGAGCTTTAGGATTAAAAACAAAAATCTTTCTCACATTGTTCTTTGAAGAAGACAAATAGATTCAATAGTATATTTTGTTTAAATTCATCTATGCCCTACATATGTGTTTTGTGTGTATGCATGTATGTGTTCAGAAACAGTTTTAATGGGAGGTAAGAAATTGACGATTCCCTCTGGGATATAGAATTGGGGGACATATAAGTTTTTTGCTTACTGGCTTTTTATTCTGCTAATTTATTTTTACAGTGAACTGATTACTTTTATAACTTTTAAAAAATAGCTTTATTGAGATGTCACAATATAATTCACCCTTTTAACGTGTACAGTTCAGTGATTTTTTTTAATGTATTCACATACCTGTGCAATCATCACCTCAGTCAATTTTAGTACATTTTCACCACCCCGAGATAAACCCAAAACCCATTAGTAGTTCCTTCCCATTCCCTCCCCAAGCCCTCTAGCCCTGGGTTACTAGTAATCTCCTTTTTTTTTTTCCAGATTTGCCTGTTCCAGACACTTCATATAAAGGGACTCATACAATATGTGGCCTTTTGTGACTGGCTTCTTTGACTTAGCATATCATACTCAGGGTTCATCCATGTTGTAGCATGTATTAGAACTTTATTCCTTTTGATTGCCAAATAATATTACTTTTATAACTTTTTAGTTGCTAAAATTGCCTAACTAAAATTCCTAATTAGGAAAAGACTGGGTTTTAACAGCATCTTAAAGTAGACTGAGTATGATTTCTGATCTTATTTCTTGAAAAAGGATCTATCAGAATATGGCTTGTTGAGGTTTATGCTGTTCCTTTCCTTGTAAGAGCTTAAGGAAGGGTTTCTGGCTCATTAAGCTATCTCCCTATAATAAGAGCAGTTTGTGACTCATGAAATCTCAGGAGATTTTATAAAGCAGTCCATTGTGGGCCAGGTAAGTGTTTCAGTCCCAAAGGTGTGATCTTATTTTGAAAAGAATCTCCAAGTCAGCCATGAGTGCACTGGGCCCTCAGAAGTCAGTGAGGAAACAAATTTTTCTGTTTCAGCATGTATTATGCCAGGATATTCAGGTGCAGTATTAAAAAGGCGAGATTAATGCTTCATTATTGAGTAGCAGAATTAGTGTAGTATTTGTAGATTATTTTTTCCTGATTTTCCAAAAATAAATTTAAAGATTCAAACATTTACTTGATGAATATTAATTTTTCTCTAAGTACACATTTTTCCTTGTGTTTATCCCTAAAATGGTATGATAAATGAGAAAGATCCAGATAGGTTTTGTTATTATTCTTATTGCTATATAGCAACCCATCTTTGAAGCTAACCCACCACTTACCTGTAGTCAGGTTGTTCGTTAAGGCATTTAAAATCCACTGCCTCACTTTTTGTATGAGCACAGAGTATCTGAATGGGGCCACTGGGTTGGGTACGGTTGTTTGGGTTGGGTACAGTTGTTGTGTCTTGTTCCACACACAGGCACCAGAGCAATGGAGCTGTCATTGCCCGCTGTGGACAGCCGGAGGTCAGCTGGTGGGGGTGGCGAAATGCCGATGATGAGCACCTGGTGCAGTCAGTAGCTAAAGCTTGTGCCTCTGACTCCCGATCAAGTGGCAGCAAGTTGTCAACTAGGAACAGTTCTCGAGACTTTACCAATGCGGGAGACCTTTCTGATGTGGACTTTGGTAAGGTGCTCCCTGGACCCATCACAGCAATTTTTATAGCATCTGAGAACCTTTCCTTGAAATGGCCTTTTCCTTGTAAGACAGAATTCGTTTCATGGCAGAGAGAGAGCAAAGCTTCAGTTGATGGAATTGTTCAAGGAATCATGGGTCTTGACAAAGAACCAGGAGACCCTTTGTTTCAAACTTGGTTTAAGAGAACTAGAGTGTTTGTTGTCTTTCTTGCCGTCATGACAAGAATGGAGTATATATGTGATAGGGGACCTTCAGTGTCTCTAGACCATGGGAGAAAACACCAGGCTTCATTAAAGGACTACAGATGTAGAAATGAGGTATAGGAGATTGTAGGCAAAATAGAAGAGAACAAGAGAGAAGTCCTAGGTATCAAAGGTTCTGGTTAGGTGGATTTCACTTCATTGAATTTTTTTGTTACTATATAATATGTGCCTGTGGTTCTTATTTTGCACAGTTCTGGGAGAGACAGGTTCATTTAGTTTTTCCTCCCCACTTCTGATGTCCCTAGATTCTTCTCTGTCAAATGCCTCGGGAGCAGACAGTTTAGCCATCCAACCGCAGAAGCTTTTGATCTTGGATGCACGCTCCTATGCAGCAGCTGTCGCAAACCGAGCCAAAGGGGGAGGCTGTGAATGCCCAGGTAAGGTGTACAGTGCTTTTTCCCCCCGGCGCTCTGTCCTTGTGAGTCCAGCCCATGCCCAAGGGGGTCTTAGTTCTCAATTTCCAATGAATGGCAAGCCATGTTCCTCAGCCTATCTTGAGAGAGCTGGAGCTCTTTGGAGTCTTAACACTGTATGTTCTTTTCAAGGGAGAAATGGAGGAGGAGGTGCAGTGAAACCAAATAATCTTCCTTCCCTGTGCCAACCTTTAGGTGATAAGGGAAGTAAATCCTCTCCCATAATAAGGCCTGTTCATGTTTGGAAGCTTCTTCTTTAGTGGCTCAATTTCTCAGCCTTCTAAAAGCTTTTTGTTGTCTTTAACAGTGGGTATGCTCATCACTGGCTTCACAGAAAACTCCTCACATGGCTTCTACTTAGAAAACCTGGGGTGGAAATTGAAGCAGTAAATACAAAACTCTAGCGAAGCGCCTCTGTTCTGACCTATAACACCCCTACTGTTTGAATGCTTGCTTTCTCCAAGGAGGGACCGTTTCGGTGCCAGTTGTGTGCTGATGGAGCACCAAGCTCCTTATTCAGATGTGATCTAAACTGCAAATTAAAAGCAGTTGTACCAAGGTGAAATTTGAATGTGTGAGATGCATTGTTCTAATAGGCTCTTTTCAAAGAGATTCCAGAGCTACAAGTTAGATGAGGCCCAAGAAGTAAACCTGGGGTAAAATGAAAGTATTTAGACCTTTTTTAAAAAAAATAACAGCTTCTGTTTTGTCAGTATCTTCTTCACAAATCTATCCTTCCTTTTCGCAAAGACAGCTAAAATTAAAGCACTGTTTTCCTCTCCTAATAAAGGACTGGGCTAATAGGCCTCAAAACGTTGCAGTTTCATTAGTCAGCAGCTGCAGTGGGTTTGTTTTTTAGCCAGTTTGCTTCTTTTAAATTTGGCCATATGGGCTTTAAATTCAACATATTTGTGTTCTCTTTATTGTTATTCTTGCCAGAGTATTACCCAAACTGTGAAGTTGTATTTATGGGGATGGCAAATATTCATTCAATTCGGAGGAGTTTTCAGTCTCTGCGGTTGCTCTGCACACAGATGCCAGATCCGGGAAAGTAAGACCTTGACCTTTACCTTAATTTTGCATTACTTTTTTTTAAAAAATGTGTTTGGAGGTGTCTTTTCTTCTATTTCTTTGTAAACTTCAGTTTTACTTTCAGTCTCTGTGGGGTATTCTCCTTCCTGTGTTAGGAGCATGGCAGCACAGAGGAGGAGCTGGGAGAAAAATCTAGCCCTTTGCCAGGTTTAAAAAAGTGCAGCACAGAACAAGTCTCAGCCCTCAGAACGGAAGCATTGCCTTCTTGTTTTTCCTGGGACCTCTTCCTTCTCTTGTACATTGTTTTTGGCCCAAGGTAATAATTCTTTGGTTTTTGACATCTTATGGTGACGCTTAACCTGCCATGAAGAGTCAAAATTTATTCATCTTTTTCTAAAAAGGGTTAAACTTTCTTTCAACTTGCCATTAGGTCAGTTCCTTCTGCATTTGCTTCTGATTTCTAAACTACCCTCTCTTATTTACTAAGAACATTACCGTGATTTTTATTGTTTATTAAAAATGAATTGCTGGCATTTGCAGTGAGGAAGGTAAAATAACATTCCCCCATCTCCCCAAGGGAGCTGTTTGAATACAAGATAAATTAGGAGGAATGCTCTGTAAAACAAATATGGACAGATAAATATTTAAAAGCCCCTGTTTTACTATTTAAGGAAGCCAGAAATGATGCCAGAGAAGACAGAATTTTCTCTTTTCTGGTGTTTGTGCTGGAGCCCATAGCTGTTTCCCCGAGTTTTGTTCAGTAGATCTCATGAACACATCAATTTTTGCAGCATTTTTTTTTTAAGATTTTATTTATTTTATTTTTTGCCCCCAAAGCCCCAGTAGATAGTTGTATGTCATAGCTGCACACCCTTCTAGTTGCTGTATGTGGGACTCGGCCTCAGGATGGACAGAGAAGTGGTGCCTCGATGCGCACCCGGGATCCGAACCCGGGCCGCCAGCATCGCAGCGCGCGCACTTAACCACCAAGCCACAGGGCCGGCCCAGCATTCTTTATTTGACTTTATTAAATCAAATGGCTGCCTGAACCACTTGGACTAACTCCTGGTAGCAAATGATTCAATTCATCACAGTTGCAATCAATCCAGAGGGTGAAGCTATTGTCCTTGGGGAAAAGCCTGACTGAAGAAATAAGATTGCTGCTCTGCTTTAGGGATTAGCAGCTTGCATCTGCTACATATTTCTAGAAGCCCACTAGTCACACTGTCTTCCTTAAAGGTGGGGCACAGAAAGCCTGGGTGAGGACTCAGGAGATCTGCCACTGACTGTGTGATTTTGGCCAAGTGGCTTAATTACTGTGGGCATTAGTTTTCCTGTCTGTAAAATGAAAGGGATAGAATCAACACTACCTATCTCTGTCATCTTCCATATATTAAAATTTTTTCTTAAAATGCTGTTTTTTAAACTCAAAGTCAAAAGGATGTAATTAGCTCTTGCCTGGTCCAAATGAATGTCTAGGGGATTTTATTAAGGAAGAAGGTAATGCTTTGTGTGTATTTGGCAGCAAATCATAATGCAGTACTGGAGCCTCCCCTGTGGATAAAAAGAAGTTATGGCAGTGGTGGGACCAGCTATAAGCAAGCCTCTGGACACTTTATTGCTGCTGTGGAGGGCTAGGGCATGGTATGTTTCTACTACAGTTTAAGAATAGGAAGTGTGGAGTCTCTCAGCACCTGCTTGGTTGGCAGATTTTGGAGTGCAGCTTCTCTGTTAGGCATGGACAACATCAGTTGGTGTGTAAGAATAGCTTAGTCAGGTTCAAGGGAACCTTATATTGGTTCTTGTTTACCATTTCTCCAGGGGCCAGGAGATAATTTAGTATTGGCTCTCCTAAGCCTTATCTTGTAGTTTCTTTTAAGACTGTGTGAGGAATGAGAATAAACAATTGATCCACCATCAAAAAATGTTTCTCAGGTACCTATTAGGAGATAGAAAGTCTTCAGATTGAATTTTTACCCATGATTTAAATAGTAGGAAGCATCACTGTATGCTAGACACTGCACTGGGGGTACAGCTGTGCCTGAGGAACTGTGTCTGCCCTTTGAGGATCCAGAGTCTGGTTGGTAGAGCAAGCTAATCCATGTGAAACCAATGTTTATGCACTACATTCTATTGTTTGTTTGCCTGGAAAGACTCCTTCCTTAGACTAATCCAAAAATTCATACTCAATCCCCAAGATTTAATAGGCCTTTATAGCCTAGTCTTAGCCAAAGCCTTCTCAGAGCCCCTGACAGAGGTATGTATTCCCTCCTCTCACTCAGTGTTTGAAGGGCTAGACTGTGGTCTTAACTACTAATGTGATCGCATTTTGGAGAAATCAGAGCTTTTTTGGTGGGGGTGGGGAGTGGAATTCATGACAGGGCACAAGAAACAAAATGTCAACACAGTTGAAAAACAAGTATGATCAGCTTGTGATTACTCCCAAGGGGCAGTTTTTAGGGTCTGATGCTTCCTGAAGGCCTTTGGAAAAAAGGTTCTTCTAGATCCCTGCTGAATCCAGTCTGTGTTAAGCCCAGTAATAACTGTGTAGCCATTGGTGTACTAATTTGTGTGAGTCTAAATCATTAGTTTGGGCCCATCCAGTTTTAGTCAGGAGACATTCAAGACTTGAGCAGTGATAGGTGTTAGGGTGTGGGTAGCAGAAGATGTTGTCTGCACTGTTCTTGAATGTGGCATCAAGCTTACATCTTGTTATAGACTTTTTTTTTTTTGAGAACTTGTTGGGCAGAGTTGCTGATAATTAAATATAAATATCTTCTGTTTTACTTCTCAGAAGTGGCTGCATTTCCTTCAGGAGAAGATTACAGAAAGAACTACTTAGACAGTAGCCCCCCCTTATCTAGTTTGACTTTCTGTGGTTTCAGTTACCCATGGTCAACTGCAGTCTAAAAATATTAAATGGAGAAGTCCAGAAATAATAAGTTTTAAATTGTGCACTGTACTGAGTAGCATGATGAAATCTCACGCTGTCTCTCCCTGGGCTTGAATTATCCCTTTGTCTAGCATATCCATGCTGTATATGCTACTTGTCTGTTAGTCCCTTAGCTGTCTCGGTTATCAGATTGCCTGTCATGGTATTGCAGTGCTGATGTTCAGGTTACCCTTGTTTTACTTAATAATGGACCCAACATGCAAGAGTAATGATGCTGGCAACTGGGATATGCCAAAGAGAAGTCATAAAGTGCTTCCTGTAAGTGAAAAGGTGAAAGTTCTCAACTTAACTAAGGAACGAAAAAATATTGTATGCGGAGGTTGCTAAGATCTATGGTAACTTTTATTATAGTATATTGTTATAATTGTTCTGTTTTTAGTTATTGTTGTTAATCTCTTACTGTGCCTAATTTATAAATTAAACTTTATCATAGATATGTATATATAGGAAAAACCATTGTATATATAAGGGTTTGGTACTATCCGTGGTTTCAGGCATCCACTGGGGGTCTTGGGATGTAACCTCCATGGATAAGGGGGAACTACTATATTGGGTATATACCTACCATGGACTGAAAAATATTAAGTATTCTCTCTGGGAAATTAGTTATAAGATTTTTGGAACAAAAGGTGGTCCTGTTAATTACTGTCCTATTTCTGAGGCTCTCCTCTATTGCATAGTAGGGCTTGGGTCTCATCCTTGTACGTGCTTTATAAAGATACAGAAATTTTCTGTTTGTTTTGGCAGTGTTTATTTGGAGGGAAAAATCTTTGGGAATTGCTTTTTAATTTGACAGGTATTTGGCATGATGCAGTAAATCATAAAAATCAGCATTTCTTTATCCCCTTCTGTTTTTTTTTTTTTAGTTGGCTCTCAGCTCTTGAAAGCACAAAATGGCTCCATCACCTCTCTGTGCTTCTGAAGTCGGCACTTCTGGTAGTGCACGCCGTGGATCGTGATCAGCGACCGGTGCTAGCACACTGCTCAGATGGCTGGGACCGAACCCCCCAGATTGTGGCATTGGCTAAGCTCCTACTGGACCCTTATTACCGAACCATAGAGGTGGGTATACTTCAGGATGAGTTGGGGAAACCTCAGAGGGTTTTTTGATCTATTTTGATCAAGGTGGTTAGGTCTAATGAAAGTGAAATTTCTTTGTTTTTAAATCATTGGTCCTTTACCTTGAACTAAATTGTGGTGGTGCCTACCACAGTTCTTGTGCCTCTTAAAATGGGGCAGATTGTGGATAACAAGGTATTGAGAATACAGACATGTTTTCCTTTGTGGTCTATCTACTTGGAAAAGTTTTGGCTGCCTTAGGAAAATGGGGCTTCTATAGAAGGATCTTGCCATGCTTATTATGGTAATGGGTTTAGATATCACCACAGAGTGTTCTTTGGAGAAAGAACCCTACTCTGAAATAACCACCTGTTGGGTTAAAGATGTAAGAATGAAAGAGGCTAAAAATATAGACTCAAGAAAGGCTTAGATAAACGCTTAGTTAGTATCCTTTTGATGATTATGGAATGGAGCTGAGGGAATTGGGAAATTGCCCTAAGCATGTGTCTCATCAGGGATGGAGTCTTTGGCTGTAGGGCTGGGTTGGGGCTCCTGTTGGGTTTAGTGGGAGGCTGTTATAAAGGGATCGTTGCCATTGACACCAGGCTCAGGACTGGTGTCACAGTTTGGACAGACAAGCACAAATGGTCTCTCCTGGGTGCTTCCCTGCAGGGTTTCCAGGTTCTCGTGGAGATGGAGTGGCTGGATTTTGGCCACAAGTTTGCTGACCGGTGTGGTCATGGGGAGAACTCGGATGATCTGAACGAGCGTTGCCCAGTGTTTCTGCAGTGGCTTGACTGTGTTCATCAGCTTCAGAGGCAATTTCCTTGCTCTTTTGAGTTCAATGAAGCATTCCTTGTGAGTTTGGGCTTGTGATTCTTCATTTTGGGGACCTTCTAAATTAATGCGGTTATCACCACAAATGTTAGTGGGCCAGTTTTCACATGAAACTGTGCATCCTTTTTAGAATTGAATAGGGGAGCCATTCTTTCTCTCATTTTTTTAATTAAAAAACAACAATCGTAAACAAGTGTTTATTCAGTGAATCCAGGTGTACTAGATTTGCATAATTTGAGTTGTTTTAAACTTAGCTTTTAAAATAAATAATAGAAGCCTCAAAAAAGCAGTTAGAAATAGAAACAATAGAATGTCCCCTGCTCTCTCCAGTCCATTTACCAAACCCCCTACATCTGTCCCACTTTCTCTACCCCCTCTCCTTTGATGGAGGATGCACTATCCTTACCCTCTTCCAGCCCCTCCCTCCACTTGTGCACCACCTCCTACCCCTCTCTCCTGCTCAGCTGCATGGCTGCAGCATTTCTCTTCTCTGCCTTTTGCATCAGCATATTTCCCTCTCTACCAGATCATTGCCATCAGCATACGAACATGGTATGGTGCCTCCCATCTCATCAAAACCCTTTCTCAGTCCTGCATCCTCCTCTACCTATTATCTCATTTCTTCACAGCAGAGCTCCTCAAGTCTTCTACATTTACTATCTCAAATTCCTCTCTTTCCACTCTCTTGAACCTACTCCAGTGGGGTGTTTACCCCACCACTTTACCAGAGCTGCTCTTGTTAAAGTGACCAGTGACCTTCATGTTGCTAATCCAGTGATCAGCTCTCAGTCTTTATCTTTTTTTTATTGAGCTATAATTGACATAACATTATGTTAGTTTCAGCTGTACAACATAATGATTGGAAATTTGTATATATTGCAAAATGATCACCACAATAAGTCTAGTTAACATCCATCACAATACATAGTTAGAAAATTTTTTGTGTGTGATAAGAACTTTTAAGATCTGCTCTCTTAGCAACTTTCAAATATGCAATACAGTATTATTAACTATAGTCACCATGCTGTACATTACATCCCCACGACATATTTATTTTATAACTGGAAGTTTTTACCTTTTGACTGTCTTCATCTTCTTTGATGCATCATTAATATTTGGTAAGTTGAATCACTCCTTTCTTGAAACGCTTTCTTCAGTTGACTTCCAGCACACACTGTTAGTTCTCTTCTACCTCACCACCTGGTCCTCTCTCCTTTGCTGGTTCCTCCTTACCTCCCCAGTTCTGGATGTTGGAGTGTCCCAGGGCTCAGCCTCCAGGCTGTTCTTGATGTACACTTCTCTCTGGGGACTGCATCTAGTCCAGTGGCTTTAATTGCTATCTGTGATTCCCACGTTTATACATCTTCAGCTCAGACCTCTCCACTTAACTCCAGACTTACCTATTCAAGTGTGACTACTCAGTATCTCCACTTGGATGTCTTAATGATATTTCAGACTTACCATGTTCAAAACTTAGTTCTTGATTTCCACATCTCCCCACTCCAAAACCTGATCTTCCAGAAGTCTTCCAACTCAACAAATGGCAACTCAATCCTTTCATTTATTTAGGGCAAAAACTTTTATGTCATCCTCAACTCTCCTCTTTCTTTTATACTCCACATTCAATCTGTCATCAGATTCTGCAGCTCTGCTTTCAGAATGTATCTAAAACCTGATTACTTATTGCTACCTCTACTGTTCTCACACTGGTCCAAGCCACCATCGTCTGCTGCTGCAGTTCCAGAGAGTCAACCTTCTAAAACATAATACAGACCATGTCATTCCTCTGCTCAGAAATCTTCAATGACTTTCCATTTCACAAGAGTAAAAATCAAAGTCTTTAAAATGTCAGGCAGGGCTCTCCTATAGGTTACCTGTCTAGCCTCATTTCCTACCATTCTTCTCCTTATGCAGTGTCCTTTAGCTCACCTCAAGACCATTGTGCTTGCTCTCACCTCTGCCTGGAGCATCACCCCTTCCCCCTATACCCACATGACCTGTTCTTTTGCTTCCATCCCGTCTCTGAGGGTGATGCCTTGCCACAATGCCCTGCATGTGCCCTCTCCCTCTTACCCTGCCTTATTGTTGTCCAGAGCACTGGTCACCCCTTCCCTACAACTAGAAAGAGCTCCAGCAGGGCAAGAGGGCTGTCTGATTATTGTTGCATATCTAGCACCCATAGAAATGTCTGGGGTGTGTGAGGTGCTCAATAACGATTTGTTGAATGAAAAACTGTTTAGAAGTGTGCTCTCAGTTCAGACTTGGGTTGCACACTGCCTGCTTTAGTACCCAGTTTTTATGCTCTGTCACTCTTGAGGGTGGTTGTTAACTTAGGACCTCAGAGACTGTTTGCCAGGGAGGCCAAGAGAAGTGGGGGTTCCAACGATTTATCTTAGCTCTTTTGACTCAGGTGTGATGGTGGTTGGGGTTGGCACTCTGGAATTGGTGTGTGAGAAGGCGGCTGTTGCGTGGCTTACTTGGTTCCCCCGTCTTTACTGAGTGCGATCTGAAGTGCTCTCATGGATGTTGTGGAAGGGTGGCTTAGGTGGGCTGACCTTCCCCCTGAGAATGCATACCCTATTGCTTGATTTTGCCTCGTTGGACTCCCATAGGTGAAACTGGTGCAACATACCTATTCCTGCCTCTTTGGAACATTCCTGTGCAACAACGCCAAGGAGAGAGGGGAAAAGCATACTCAGGAACGAACATGTTCTGTGTGGTCACTGCTTCGAGCCGGCAACAAGGCTTTCAAAAACCTACTCTATTCCTCTCAGTCAGAAGCCGTATGTATCCTTCAACCTTTCTTCCCTGATCAGAAGAAGGAATTTGGGAGTGGGGACATATGGGAGCCTTTTTGAGTAGTGACTGTTTTCTCAAAGGTATTTTTGTTGTCTCTGGGTGGGTTGGTTCCTTTTTTTCTCTACTGCTGTCTTGAGAAAGGCCTGTGTCCTGGTGATGCTCTGGCTTGTTTCTGACCACTCTTTGTTCAGGGTGGTTTGATTTAATACACATCTCTACTTTGCCTCTCTAGACACGAATCTTTTCTGGCACCTCCACCAGAGCTTACTTACTCCTAGTGTGTTCTGTCTAATGAGTGGAAGAGGCACTTAAGTTGTTCCCTGGATGACCCTGATAGCTCAGAAGGAGCTGCCATCAGGCCCCCAGCACCCTTCCAGTGTCGACAAGCAGTGATATCCACTGCAGCTTCTATCTCAGAGAGCAGAAAACTGTGTGACGTTAGCATGTGTGTCTGTGTGATTCTCTGCTCACATGGAGAACTGGCAGGTCCTTTAAGACTTTGTTCCTCAAAGGAACGCCTTCCGTTAAGCAGAGAAAAGTAGGCACTTGCATCTGTGTGTAATGTGCCTTTTGTCAGAATGCATCTTAAATTCTAAAGAAGTCAAAGGGAGGCTAATCAGAGGTTATATTGCTTCGCTGGACTATTAATATACCTTTCACACATTTAAGTAGTCAAAGGAAAGATTTAAGCTAACTGCTTCTCTCTCTCCTTCACTGTGCCTGCTGGGGAAGTAACAATACAGGAAGAAAATTCCTTCCTTTTCACGTGATTAATTTAAATTATCCCATAAAACAGGTTTGACAGTGTCTTCTGAAGCCAAGCTTTTCTATCAGGGAACAGACAAGCACCATCTAACAGAATGACTCACTTGCTTATGCAGTAAATGCAACAAATTAAGCTGAGGAAAGCCAGTCATTCAATAAAGGTGACCTAAGAAATAATTGGTGAGAAATGGATTTTTAAAAAATCCTTTAGATTTTCATGCCCAGAAGAGTCTTCACAGGTGAAAAATGTTGCCTCCCCAAAATCTCTAGTCCTTTATAGGCCCTCTTGGGAGATAGACCTGCATCCACTGATGCTAACTCCCTTTGGAGATTGTGCAAGACCTGCTGGGTGTTCCAGCTTGGTGCTTGTTCTTGACCCATTTCTAGACAGTTCTAAAAGACTCGTTGGGACTTGTTTAAACCTGTGTCCACTGCTCTCTCCTCAGGTGCTGTACCCTGTGTGCCACGTGCGCAATCTAATGCTGTGGAGTGCGGTGTACCTGCCCTGCCCTTCCCCGTCCACCCCTGTGGATGACAGCTGTGCACCATACCCAGCCTCTGGCACCAGCCCTGATGATCCGCCCCTGAACCGGTGAGCCCAGGGTTGATGCTAAGTCCTCAAGTCCTGTGTGGGTTATTCTTGTGTTGGGACACGCCCAAGGATGGTCAGAGATATGACATTGTCTGGCTCCCTACATCTTTCTTAGGTCTAAAGTTTTCTCAGGGAAGGTATAAGGGTTCTGGGCTACGAGGCCATAAGAGCCTCATTTTCTGAAGGGTGTTGGGCATTGTCGCTATATCGCTCTGCTGAATGCACCAAGCAGTTTCTCAGTGATGGAGCAAATCCTCTGGGTTCCTTGTGACCCTCTGGCTTGAATATCAGCCACTACTCTCTGCTCCTCCCTCCCTGCCATGATTTGTCTTCTTGGGCTTGAAAGGCAGATGCTGTTAGATGATAGACAGTTTGGCTTTAAACTTGTGAATTAGTTTTATTGAATATAGACTGATAAATAATAAATTAATTAAAAATATTGTAATAGTAGAAAATAAACAATGCTACTTTCCTTTGCCACTAGTTGAGAAACACAGCAGTATCATGAACATCTTTTAAAATAGCATTTGCTGTTAGCTTATTGGTATGTATCGGGCATGGGGTAGGCGTGGTGTGAGGGGAAATTTGTGGACTAGAAGAAGGACTCCTTCTGGAGATTTGCCTTTCCAGCAGTCTGAGCCTCACTTCAGAGATGCCATAGCTCCTTGAATAGTGATAAAGGACCCATTTATGAAACAACTGCCTGTTAAAACCTATTGTCTCCTACTTCCCTCTGAACAGCCTCAGATTCTCATTTCCCCCAAACTCCTTTTTTTAGGCTACCAAAGACTAGATCATTTGACAATCTGACCACAGCCTGCGACAACACAGTGCCTCTAGCCAGCCGGCGCAGCAGCGACCCAAGCCTTAACGAGAAGTGGCAGGAGCACCGGCGCTCACTAGAACTGAGCAGCCTGGCTGGTTCTGGAGAGGAGCCTCTTGATCCTGACAGCCTGGGGAAGCCAACCAAAGTGTTGGGCGGTGCTGAGCTCTCGGTTGCAGCTGGAGTGGCCGAGGGGCAGATGGAGAACATTTTGCAAGAGGCCACCAAAGAGGAGAGTGGGGTAGAGGAGCCTGCCCACGGGGGGAGCATCGAGATGCAGGAGGTCAAAGAGGAGGTGCTCTTAGAAAAGGAGAGCAGAGGGAAGACCCGTGAGGGCTCGGCCATTGTACTTCATCAAAACCCAGAACTGGATGCTGCTGCTCTGAGGAGCCATCCAGGCACCAGCCTTTCTCGGTTCTCGCAGGGTATTCCTGAGCAGCAGGGTGGGCACAGTGTTCTTCCCACTTCTCTCCAGGAGCCCCCCAGGGGAGAGGATGTCCAGGAGGTCCTTGTAGAACAGCCTCAAATAGGAGCTATCGCAGAGGACAGGGAGGAAGCACTTCTTCCAATCCCAGTAGATGCACAAGTTGGCTATGGTACCTCACAGTCAAGTTCTCTGCTTCCCTCCCAAGGCCCATTTGAGGCCAGAGGACCAAACGTGGACAGCTCCATGGACATGTTAATGGAAGATAAAGTGAAGTCAGAAAGTGGCCATCTTAGACCTTGCCTGGTAAACAGTGGCAGGTTCAGTGGCAAGGACATGCTTCCTCAAGCCTTGGAGCCCAGGCCTTTGGAGAGGAGCCTGGCAGAGAGGCCCCATGTGGGATCTCTGGTGCATAGGACTTCCCCTGGCAGCACCCACAGCCCAGTGCGTTCTCCTTGTGCCTTGCCTTTAGCTGAATGTAAAGAGGGGCTTGTATGCAATGGTGCCCCAGAGACTGAAAATAAGGCCTCAGAGCAGCCCCCAGGGCTTAGCACCCTCCAGAAGTATCCCACCCCTAATGGGCACTGTGCCAATGGGGAGGCTGGTAGGAGCAAAGACTCACTGAGCCGTCAGCTGTCTGTCACAAGCTGCAGCTCTGCCCACTTACAGTCAAGGAACATGCACCACAAGTGGCTGCACAGCCATTCAGGGAGGCCGTCTGCAACTGGCAGCCCTGACCAGCCTTCCCGCAGCCACCTGGATGATGATGGCATGCCTGTGTACACGGACACTATCCAACAGCGCCTGCGTCAGATTGAGTCAGGTCACCAGCAGGAAGTGGAGACCTTGAAGAAACAAGTCCAGGAGCTAAGGAGTCGCCTGGAGAGCCAGTACCTGACCAGCTCCCTACGCTTTAATGGGGACTTTGGGGATGAAGTAGTGAGTACACCATGGTGCCTCCATAGCTGCCCAAGGCTGGGTGCCCTTTGTGCCTGGCGCATGGTGATTGGTACAGATTTCTGAAAGAACTGGAAAGGCCCAGAGTAGCCCTGTTGAGAGAGGCTGGAGAAAGGCATGTGAATGGCAGTCTGCCTCTTTCTCTTCTCTGCCTTGCTTACTTTCCACACGTGTCCTATTTAGGCAGTTAGAACAAGGAAGAGAGTTAGCACTCACTACGTGGTTGGTCAAATCTCTTTGGCGAGAGGAACCATATATTTTAAGAATGGCTTGAACTCCTGGGCTGAATGACATTTGTAGGGCAATGTCGAATTGTAGGGCCTGTCCTACCCCAGTAGCTAGTAAACTGTTAGTCTCCCCAAACATGGGCTGTAGCTGTGAAGGTTTAGTTGTTTTTTAACAGATACTGTACCCACCCTGTGGCAGGTGATGGCAGTAGAAACGAGGAGAAGGGATTGGTTTCTAGCACTGTTGAGGAGTTAGCACTGATGGGGCCTGGTGACTGGAAGTGCAGGTACCTGAGGGGAGATTTTCAAGGAGTCGTTCTCACTGGGTCCGTCTGACTCGATGTGTTCAAGTACAACTGTGAGCCTGGCTCTGAAGCAGTCAGCGTACATTAAAGGCGGGCTCATCCAATGACTTTGAATTCAAACTGACTTCTCGATTTTTCTTTCATACTAATGATGGTTTCTCATTTTCCCAAAGAGTCCTTTAGGGAAAGGAGGACATGCCCAAAGCACTCAGTTTGAACACACAGATGTAAATGGCAGGGTTGGATTGACAGGCTCTCTGGAGCAGCTAACACTCAGTGCCCACTCCATTCTGGTCTCTTCTGCCCCACTCACTTTCTGGAACCCAGAGCCTGTCTTTCCACTCCAGAGTCACTACACACAGCCTTAGACCTGTGTATCTCTCTTCCAGCTGAACTCAGCCCTATCTTTGCATCTGCTCAACCCACTTCTTGATGGCTGATGCACCTACAGATTTGGCAGCCCTAATACCCAGGCCCACCCAGAGTCCCAAAGCGTTCTTTACCAAGCCCTTTCCTCTTCTGGGAGGAGACTAGGTTCATTCTCTTCAGCTGTGTTTGTTTGCCAACAGACTTCAATCCCCGACTCGGAAAGCAATCTGGATCAGAACTGTTTGTCTCGCTGCAGCACAGAGATTTTCTCTGAAGCCAGCTGGGAGCAGGTGGATAAACAGGACACAGAGGTACAGGCTCAGCCCCTGTTCTGAGTGCCATCCATGCAACTCTTTTGTGGTTCTTCTCCACTCCCATCCTTTCCCCATGCCCCTGGCCAACGAATGACCTCATAGCACACTTAGCCTTGAGCCTCTGTGAATCTCAGCGCCTGTGAAACCCCATCAACTGTAGAATTTCTGAGCCTAGGAGACTCAGCAAGCTGGTCCTCTCTCCTCTTTGCCTCTATGAACTGGAGCCTTACCAGCTCTCATAGCGACCCAGGGAGCTTCTGCCTGCCACTTTATCTCAGGGGAGTTTCGAGTCCCCTCCAGGGAAACGATTTGGACGCCTTTCTTGTACTGCTGACATCAGACCTGCTAGGCTGGTGCCACCAGAGCCAGTGTGGTCATTATGACTCTTGGCTGCCCCCCCGCACGGCTCTGCTGGCTCCAGCTGGATGGCCCATCTCCTGTCACTAACCTGGCCCCATATGTTTTACAGATGACCCGTTGGCTCCCTGACCACCTGGCTGCTCACTGCTATGCGTGCGACAGCGCCTTCTGGCTTGCCAGCAGGAAGCACCACTGCAGGTGCCATTGGGGTGTGTGGTGGGGTGGGCAGGGATGTGGAGGCTGAGATTGGCCCTTGGAGCCTGCAGATGGAGAGATACAGGCCTTGGGCTGGCACTGTTCTGGCTGAGGCAGACCCTGGGTTTACAGGACCCTGACTCATCTCTTGTGCCTCTGAAATTGGTGTTTGCAGAACTGCATTTGGTGTCTTTCTTCCAATTCAGAGTGATCATGACTAAATTTTGAAATGTGCAAATGATGTCCATTTTTGTTTATTTTGCTTCTTGGATTGGTGGAGCAACAGCCACCACCAAACCACCATTTCTTATTCCTAGAATAAAATTTCTTCCCATTCAACATGCTGCTATGAGCAAAAATAGTTTTCCTGCTGTGGGCAGGGAACTGCATTTTCCTACTTCTTACCCTGCTCCCTGACCCCAAATTTGTTTTCCTTGTGCCACTGGTGAGCAGACATAGCTGGGGGGCCTAGTAGGGACAGCTGAGGACATAGTCTTCAATCCTTAAGTCTTCTGACTTCTTTCTTCCTTCTCAGTTGGTGTACTGAGTTGCTAGGGGTGCTTTGCCCCAGCTGGGGTGGTGACTGTCTGGAGGATGTTCTTTGTTCTTGCGATAGGAAGTTTATCTGAATCATTACACAGCTCGTCCACACAAGTGAACCCAGATTGAAAATGAAACCACCTCTTTGTCTAGTAATGATGCTTCTAGGACTGTGTATCTCCCCACTCTGCACCCCAAGCCCAAATGTCTTGGTTTGGCTTCTCCTCTGAGCTCTTTCTCCCCTCCTTGCAGGGACACTGACCGTGTTGATCAAACGTGGTGAGCATTTGCAACAACCTGTCTGTGATGTCTGCACATCTACAATAACTTCTCCACACTAACACTGCCATTTCCTCTTCTCTGCACTCATTGGGATGAAGCCTGGGGCTGAGAGCGCAGGCAGGCAGGTGGGCTTGCGGGGAAATCAAAGCAGCTGACTAAGGAGACCATTAGGGCGGAGTCAGGCTGCAGCCATGTACTCCCCTCCTGACCTCACAGGTCAGGTGAGCCATCTTGCTTGTGATGAGAAGCATTGCTTCAGCAGGGGCTGGTCTTGTGGAGTAGCCAGTTGGGTTTTTAGAGCTATTTCTCTTGGGTCAATCATGCCAGAATGATGCTAGTGACTTCCAAATCAAACAGCATCACTGCTCCTATTTTTTTAAAAGAGACCAGGACTGAATAGAGGTGGTCTTTCCAGAGAACTGTTTTAGCATGAAGACTTTAAGGGAAGACTCCACTTAGGGTCTGTCAGGATCCCCTGAGAGAAGTCAGATAGAAAAGCTTAACTGATCAAATTCATGTCAGGCTTTGGAGCTGAACTCTAGAAGGTATGTTAAGTCAATGTAAACATTCAGAAATAGCTTTAGGTAATTCTTCTGTGTAATCACAGGTTCTTGCTGATTCATACTTTTCAGAAACAGAGTTGGGAGGTACTTAACTGCATTCTAGTAGATGAAGTTTTGTGTGTTTTAGTTCTCTGTCCTTCCATTGCCCTGTGTCTAGCCTTTTCCTTTTAGGCTATTCTTTTGTCCCCAAAGGGTATTCAGCATTCTCTCCTCCATGCCTAAGTGGTCCTTAATCCAGCAGTGGCTTTGCTGCAGTCTGAGGAGCATAAATGAAAAGGTAGTGAGTGGTGCTGGCTAAGAAGGAGGATTTCCCTTTAGCTGCTTTCCCCAAGTCTTTGGCGGGCTGTGTCAGGCTCCCTATAGTCTGTTTTTGGGCACACTGGGATTGATTTGTACTTTAGGGCCTGGCAAACTGGGGTTATAAGGTGAGCAGAAACTCATCCTCTGCCAGTTCCCTGTCCTGTTAGCTGTGAAGGGCATCTCTTTGGGTGTGCAGACCTGTGCTACACAGACACACCAGAGCTGGGCTTTCAAGTGGAGAAGGAGAGGGGGCCCTCAGGCCTGGGTGCAGTCAGGCCTTCAGATAGAGCTCTGATAGTCCCTGAAAATGCTGGGGGCAGGGGAGTGAGCCATAATTGACTGACACCTATCTAATAAGGGAGTGTGTGTGCACGTGTGTTTATCTGTCCTCTTGTCCTTTCACCCTGAGCATGTGTCACTGGTTGCTTGTCTCCTGGCTTTGCATGCTGGCAGCAGAGCAGTCCTAGATGGCAGCAGTCTGTTCTCCACATTGCTGCCTCTGAGCCTCTGGGGGAGTGGCCCTTTGGGCAAGGCTCCTCACTCCCCAGCGAGGCTGGATAGTTTCTCTCATCTGAGGGGCTCAGAGGCAGTTCCACTGGACTCGGGCCTCTCTGTGATGACAAGCTACAGAGAGCATTGCCCAGGTGGATGTGGCCACTGGGTTTTCCTGGGCCAGGACTTACTCATTGAGCTAGCAGCTGCTTCTGCCCAGGCCCCATTTGTTCTCATGGATCTCTCTTGAGCAGCATCCTTCTGTACACTTGGTAACCTTGAGCCATAGTGGTGAGGCAGCCAAGTGTCCTTGGCCCTAAAGTGCAAGTGGCGCGTGACTATGCTAGGTGGGGATCCCCTCCCTCCCTGCCTGGCTTGTTTCTGGGCTAGACAAATGAAAGTGTTTGATCTTAGAGGAGTCTCCAGCACATCCAAATTACATACAGTGAAGTTCTGTCTTCTGAAGTTGGTTTCCCCACTCCATACTTGTTCCAAAACTAACATTGTTTTGTTTCTTCTCATCCCAAGGAATTGTGGCAATGTATTCTGCTCCAGTTGTTGTAACCAGAAGGTTCCAGTTCCCAGCCAGCAGCTCTTTGAACCGAGTCGAGTGTGCAAGACTTGCTATAGCAGCCTGCATCCCACAAGCTCCAGCATTGACCTTGAACTGGATAAGCCCATTGCTGCCACTTCAAACTGAAGCTCAGTGACCTGGGGTGGGCAGAGGCCAAGCTGTTGTTCCTCTGACAGGCCCAGACAGCCCTGGCAGACTGAGAGGCCCGTGCACTTTGGAATGGGGGCATGGAACCACCTATGCAGAGTGACAGAAATTTGGGATGTACCACTGGATTGTAGATTGATTTTTCTTTCCTGGTTTTTTCTCCCTTTTCCATCCTCCCTCTGCCTCCAAAAAAGAAAAGAGTCCCTTGGTTGTCTTAATTTTTTTTTTTTTTTTTTGGATGGAAGACCAGAGGTTGCCAGGCCCCTTGTAACTATTGAGCTGCCTGCTGTCAGGTGATGCTGAAGGCTGGCTTGGTTCCTCAGGATGGGAGGGGGCCGGTCAGAGTCAGGAGTGGAGGCCTGAGATAGTGAGCAGGGAAGAAACCCAGTGCTAATGTTTGTGACCATTCCTCGTGCCAGCGCCACATCAGAGCTTGTTGGGAAAAGCCTTTGCTACTGAGGAGGCTGGAAGCATCTTCCCTAAGAGAACTGACCCAGGTGCCCTCTCTTTCCTGAGAGGCCAGGCCAGTCCCATCTTACAAACAGATAAATGGGATTGGTATTGGAGGGAGGGACACACGGACTCCCTCTGGAGAAGAAAGGTGTATGCTCCTCTGAGGCAAGTGAGAGGGGCTGGGAATGGGTGGCCAGCATGTTCTCCCCTGTGGGATTCTGTTTTTAACTTGACCCAGATTGTCTAGGGCTCCCTTCACTGTCATGGGTCTGCCAGGCTGTGTAGTGCTTCCCACTCTCAGGCATAAGAGTGCAGACTGGCTGGAGTGCAGTGTCCCGCTGCTGTGGCCAAGGCCAAGGCCAAAGCTTGCCCTGAGGCCAGGCACACTTGGAAGCCCCTTCTGAGGCCTGGTCCCCCAAACAATCTCTCTTCCTCAGCCAGCACAGGGAAATCCAGACTCAGGGTTCCAAAACTTCCCCATTCCCAAACCAAACAAATCATGGATCTCCCTCTTAAGGGGTAGAATCAGCCTTTTCGAGTGCAAGCCTCTGGAAAAGGGAGCACATCCCATACAATCAGCCTTCCTCCTCCTTCCCTTCTTGGGGCAGCGGGAGGGGTCCAGCAATCCCCCTGCCCTGCTCCTGTACTGCTGGCCAGCAGTGAGGGGCCACTTGGTGACTCTGCAGGGTTCCTTAGAGAAGTGACACAGCCCGTAGGAGATTCGGGGCACCTTTCCTCAGTAAGCTTTGATGTGGTCCCTAAAGAGCCTTAAATCAAGAATATTTGTGGTGGAGGTGGGTATAGGGAAGGGTGGAAAGGAGTTTAGGTTTGTGCTTTGTAATCTTGGCATCCATGTTTTGTGCCTGCCCTCCCTCTCGGGGGAAGGGCCATGCTTGGCTCTGCTAAAAGCTGCTAACTGGTACAGAGCGGATTATGGTGAGCAGTGGGGGTGAGGCCAGGGAACTCTTCTGACCCTTTGGAAGCAGTTCCCTGGCCAAGGGCAAGCTGTGTCTCAGGAAGGTAGCTCCTGTGTGTGCCTGGGCATGGTTAAGACGTGGCCCAGAAGCCTTCCCCGGAGCTTTAGGTCCAGGCAAAGCCAAGAGCATCTGAGCACGTCTCCCGACTTCCCAGTGGCAGCAGGTTGCTCGGAGTTTGAATTTAGTGAAACAGGGTGTAGTTCTTCTCCACACTCTGTGTGGTCTGGCCGTGCAGGTAGGGAGAAGTCAGTGTAATTGAAGATTGTGCAGTTCCTAGTGACAGGTGCCAAGAGGTTATGATACGGGTTTCTGGGGTCTGATGTACAGTGTGAATAAATGCTTGCAGCTCTTAGCCCTTTTTTGATCAATGAAGCACTTTTTTATTAATATTTTTCTTTGTATGTAAAGGAGGAACCGTAACTCTCCGTAGCTGTACATATAACCCTTTTCTCCTAAAGAGGAGTCAGTCAGTGCTCCTATATTTTTCATTTTTTGTCAAAGCAAGAAGTAAATACTTTAGATCTGTTAAATATATAAATAAAGTGAATAAAGTTTAGTGTTTCGCATGGTAGCATTTGCTAACATGTTCTAATTCTTTTCCCTGTGGTTTATCCCTTCTCCATCCCTTTTCCCTCTTACACAGAAGCAATTTGAGGTGCTGCTGGGAAACTGAACTTTGGCAAAGGAAAACTACAGATTTCTTTTCAACTCTGGACCTTGGCAAGGAGCCGCACCATGATGCCCAAGCACTGAAACACATTTCCTTGATGGTTTTGCCCCTAACATCTCCACAGCTAAAAAGGCAAAGCAATCAGGCATCTTCACAATGAATGGTTCTTCCCTAGCTGAAGAACTGAGCATCAAGAGTAATTAAAAGTATTTCTGGCCTCCAGGCTCCTTTTTCTGCTGCTTCTCTGATTTTAGGGCAGCAAGTGCTCTGGCCCCTTAACCTCACCCCACCTAGGGAGCGTCAGCTGTGCCTGTAGCAGTGGTTAAGCACAGAGCCCTGCCTGTGTTGGAGAGTGAAAGGAGATGTTGGGGGCAGTGATGGCTAGAAAGTGCTTCTGCCTGTTGTTCTTGGATAAGAGAATATGGGTGGGCAGAGAGAGATCTTGGGGGCAGAAACTGAATTGGACATGATAACTAGAGGTCTCCCTCCTCCCTCCATTCGGAGGGAGGAACCTCTGCTCCTTAGATCTGCAACCAGCTGAGCAAAGCCATAGCTTCTAGTCACTTGGTTAGTTCTTGCTCTTCACAGAGGTGGATTTTCTTTCCCCTGCATCACTGTTGGCCATCCTCTCCATCCCACAGGTCTGTGGGGGAGATATGTTACACAGTTGCTCTCTAGGGAAGGTTGGTGTTGAGTGGCACCCAGCCCTGGGGTCGCCAGCCCAACATCCCTGTGGTGAGTTGGCTGGGCCCCAAAGAGTGACCTGCTCAGAGCTCCTCTGAGGGTTTAACTCTTTGGGTTAGGCTTTTCACTTTTGGATGTACTCTGTGACTAAAGTACACAAGCACTTAAAAATAGCTCAGCTGGTTCCAGTCTGAAAGCTGCGAGTGCCATCCAGCAGGTGTTTCAGAATTAGCCTGTCTTTTGGGAGGAGAAGGTGCCACTTCAGTTGCCTTCAGTCCATCATAGAGCCCAATCTGTGTTCAGACCAGTTTGTAAAAAACCTGAGTGTGTGTCATAGCCAACGTGTGTCTACAGAGCTCCTGTTGTTCCTGAGGACTAATGGTTTAGCCCTCAGCGAGTTAAAATGCTAGGAGAACCTAGCAAGGCTGTTGGGGGCCATGGAGCTGCTGGAGGCAGGAAGATGAAGAGCCAGGATGCTAGTGAGGCCTGCACAGTGTGGGTTGAAGGCAGAGAATTCCGTGGAAGATGGCTGTACATGGAGAAAAGCAGTTCTCTAAGGACAAGGCCAGCTTTCTTCAGGCGATCACGTGGAGGAATTCGGTCTGGAGTAGCGGGGTACTAACAGTGACCTCGAACTGCCAGGATGTCCTCCTCATCCCTGAACTTGCCTATCCTGGCACTCTCTATTTCCCTTCATTCTATACTTTGGCTTCCTTAATCCCAGTCCAAAAAATGATAGGGCTGCCTGCATCCAGTGGGATTTTCTAGTAAAAATGTACAGAAAATTTTTTCTTTAGTAATTTTGCTAATATGCTCACTGTTCATTTCTATGTTAGCAAAGGATATTGTAAGAATTAAAAAGGTACTATGGCAGATTTAAAGGAGAATGAACAAAATGGTGCTAGAGGATCTGTTAAACGATTTCCTGCTATTAAAAAATATCAAAATGGGAATTGAAGGTACATCCTAGGATAAGATGACAGGCTGTTGTCCTTGAGGTAACTTATATACTTGGCTGCTGAACACGAGGCTAGGAGATCCCATGCCTGTTGAAGTTGTTAACTCTAGCCCTGACCTCTACTGATCTTTTAAGAATGAGGGCTGATTTCAAGGGTCTGTTGCAGGATTTCATTTAGCTGGTGCCTGTTCAAGTGACTTGTCCCCAGGGCTGCAGCTGCACCCACCCAATTGCATTAGCTGAGGATAGGGCTAACAGCAGAGTTAAAAATGGGCCCTGGGCTGTGGAGCAACATGGCTGACCCTCCATTTGGAGTTTTGGATAACATGGCCGGAGTCCCAGCTGTTTAATTTCTAGTTAGATCTTCTAAGAATCTGTTCTAAGTTGAGATTACTAACAAGACATCTCAAGGGCAGGGCTAGAATGTGTGAGAGGCTTCGAGTAGGAGCAGGAATCGGAGGCAACCCTCCTAAGCCTCTGACTCTTAAACACGAGTCCTGCTGTCCCCAGCACATAACCACACTGACACTTTGTTCTTCTCCCCTGTGTGTAAAGTTCATCTGCTGCACATTCTGTGCAGATACCAGCTGCCTCCCCGGCCAAACAGGCCTCTTTTAGGCTAGGAAGTTGTTCAGAGCATGAGAGGAAGGGGAAGGGGCACCCTCTGAAATGGGAATAACAAAGCTTTTAAATGCTGCTATTATATTTCATTTACCACTTATGGTCTTTTCTATCATGTCCGAGTTCTTACTCAACTTTTCTTACATTGCTCATAGCAGATACATTTCAATTGTATTTTCAGTGAAATCTGTTTTACGTTGGCATTTAAAATTGACCTTTAACTGCATCCTGATTGGTTTATAAGACTTTTTAAAAAAATGCAAACGTAACCCACAAGGCTTGGAAACTGTTTAAGAAATATACTGTGTGTGTGTTGCTGCTGACAGTGTTTGCCTATTAGAACAGCATTGATTGTGCTGTAGCCTCAGTGACCATGTAAACAAAATAAATGTGTCACTTTCACCCACAAACAGTTGTTCAGCCCTGGATTTGGGTTGCCACAGTGGTTCTCTGGTCAGTGCAAGGGATAAATCAGCTCAGCCCCTTAGTCAGTGCAGGAGAGAGGGAGGGGCGTGGCCAGGAGGGGGTAGCGGGGCTCAGCATTTGCGTTTCAGAGCCTGTGGATGTGAAACCTAGCATTCAGGGCTGGGAGGCACCTTAGATCATCCAGTTCTGTGGTTTTCATGCTGTTCTTTGGGGCCGTTATGGAGAGGGAGCCCCCGGCCCATGCAGTGGTAGGCATCCAAGTAAGATCTGATTTGAAGAAAGGTTTTGATGCTTAAAATAAAAGTCTGAAAATCATTGATTTAATCAAACCTCCTGGTTTTTTGAGGAAACTGAGGCTCAGGGAGCAGCAAAGACTCATCCCAGGTTACCAAAGAATTAACAGCAAAATTTGAATAAGAAACATTCTTTCCTGACCCCTCCCCCTCAATGCTCTTGGCCTTCCAGAAGACGGACTTAGATAAATAGCTATTTTAACCTGGTTCTCTTTGAGTTAGCCAAGCCGGAAATCTTGGAGAAGAGCTTAGTAGTTGCTACCAAAAGGCTTAAACTATGAGCCCTCCTCTCCCTCCTAACCAAAATCAAAACGTTTTGATACTATAAGGCAGTGTTGTTTTGTGTTTAACCTTTCAAATACATAAAAACATATGTTATTAGCATGAATCGTCTAAGTTCAAGTCATAACTGTCTTAAATCAGTGGGGCGAGAGCATTTTTGACTAATGCAGATGGGATAGTTATGAACCGTCTCAGCATCCAATTTATCTCTGAATTTGTTTTGTTTGTATGGTATGGAGGAAAGTCCTGATTGTACACAGATAAGTGGTTGCAAATGGTAATGTCACAGCTCGCCTGCAATCGGGTTACTGACAAAACTGAAGTAGAGGCTTGAAAAAAAGGATTAATAGAGGAATATCCAATACTTGTTTTCAGTGTTGGAAGAAACACCCAAAGGTTATAATAAGCACTAAAATTAACCTATGGTGAGAACCACGAGTATGGAGTTAACGGCGATCACAGCACCAGCCTAGCACCCTCTCGGTCAGCGACCCCTGAGAAGCCCACACAAGCACAGCTATGGAGGCCTTACTGGGAGGTCTCAGGCAGCCTAAGCTCATGTGTGTTTTACAGCTTACTGTATATATTAATGATTTTTAATATTTAAGATGACATTTGAAGCGAGTATTTAAAGAGAACCGCTGAAGCACTGCCACAAGTCAGTTTCAAAACCACCAATTTGGTGGAAAGAACCTGTGTTTCTGAGACCACAGACCTGAGCTGGAATCCCAGCCCTGCAGCACCAGCTGAGCTGTCTGTGGGCAGGGGAGGAACTGTGCATTTCCTCATCTAGAGCAGGGCACTTGCCATTAAGAGAGGTTGAAGGTGGGTGCTTCGTAAATGCTCCTCTTCCTGCTGTCCATGAGATAAAATGGTATTTCTGTCTGTCTCTGGCTGCTGGCCGACATTCTGAATGATCAGAGCCAGATGGCGCTTCCGTTCCACCATGTATTAAAACTAGAAGACAACTGACTCTGCCCTGGGTCTTCCACCCTACAGAGGTAAAATTCTGACAGTAAAGCATTCTGATCTGAGTTTTACAATAAATTGCAAATGTATCACTACTCAAAGAGTTTAAAGTTCATATAGGTATTTTTTTTTTCTTTCTGTGAGGAAGATCGGCCCTGAGCTAACATCTGCCAGTCCTCCTCTTTTTGCTGAGGAAGACTGGCCCTGGGCTAACATCCGTGCCCATCTTCCTCCACTTTATATGGGATGCCGCCACAGCATGGCTTGCCAAGCGGTGTGTCGGTGCGCGCCCGGGATCCGAACCGGCAAACCCCGGGCCACCGCAGCGGAGCGCGCGCACTTAACTGCTTGCGCCACTGGGCCGGCCCCCATATAGGTATTTTTATTAGAGTTAATTTTTTTAACAGATGCAGGTCTGCAGGTGCACTGATGCTTTAAAATTGTGTAAAAGCAATGGGAAGGAGGCCGAGACAGACATTGTTGGGTTTGAGGAGGTGTCTAAGAATTCCCGAGTCCTGTGGAGACTGATGTGGCCTCACTTTGCTTAACAGCTGATAAGTTTTAGGTTCCTGACTAAAGACTGAGCCTTAAGATGTAGACTAGCTCTCCAGGCTGAGGGGCAGGGGTGGCAGAGCCAGGTGGGCCTTACCTCCGTGTAGCGCAGATATGTCTGACGCAGAGAGCTGGGACCAGGTTGTGTGCTCTGTCTCGCAAGAGAGCCCCTGTGAAGATTCCAGGGCCCAAGGCTGGAGAGGGAAGTGAAGACCTGGCATTAAGCTCATCCTTCCTGCCATCTCCAAGACCAAAGGAGCCCAAGGTGGCTGAATGTATTTAAGGCTTTGTCATCCGAGTTAAAACAGATGTGAGTTAGTTGTAAATGGTTCTCCTACTAGATGTTGCCACTTGGAAGATCAATCCCTAGAACTGGAGGTTCTTTCAAGATACACAGAAGGTGCTGGTACCAGCTGGCAGA